TAATATAATATAATATAATATAACTTGCAGAAAAGTCAAATACATTTTCTGTATGTGTACAAAATGTAGACACGTTTTTTTTCACATATGAACATGTTTTCAGACACATTTCTCACATTTGATAAAAATTTCAACATGTGAGGTTTGCAAAAAGTTTGCATGTGAAATTATCATCACTTTTTTTATAATATAAAAGAAAAATAAGTGAAAAAAGCAGGAATTCCAAGTTTCCAAAAATGGATTTCAAACCATTTAAAGATACAAAAAATAGGACTCATAACAACCATGCAAAAGCTGGTAGACCAAAACCATCACCATCAGATAAACAATCCAGATCAACCAGCTTCTAAGACTGAACTTTGGAGGTGTGTCTGCAGGTTTACTTGAAAAACTGAAAGCAAGCCTGCTGGAAAAAATCAAAGCTGTAATCAAAGCAAATGATGGACACAATAAATACTGAAAAAAAACAATATTGTATTTAGTTGTTGAGACTTCTGTGTACTTTTTGGTTAACCCTTGTGTGGTGTTCAGGTCTGTGGGACCCATTTTAAATGTTTACCAAAAGAGAAAATGATGTGATTTATTATTATTTCAACCTCAGATTCTTGGTCTTTGCTCATTTTCTGTGAAGAACATATAAAATAACCCATTTTCAGTGTCTTCACTCTGTTCACCCCCCACACATTTATATTACACATGTGGTGTTGGGTGAAACTGCGGGGAGTAAAAGTGTGGAGGTGCTGTGTCCTTCACTCTGTTCTCCTCCTACATGGCCTGCTGTTAGTGTGTGTGTGTCTGTGTGTGTGTGTGTGTGTGTGTGTGTGAGGGTGGACAACATGGACAGGCTGCTGACTGGCTACAGCTGCTAAAGGAGAACCCTACATTGGACGCTTGTGATATTTTAAACATCTGGCAATCATTTTACATAAATTGTTATGGCTGTATTTATTTTTTATGTTAAACATGTTTTGTGCTTTTTTCCCTGAATCTAGAAAATGAAAAACTTGAAATTAACAGCTGTTTTGACTGTAAATTAACCTCTTCAGCTCCTTGGGACCACCGGTGGTTCCAAAACGCACTTCGTCATATTCTTCAAAACTTTCATATTTCATAAGCTACATTCAGAAGGTGGGGGTCGTATGAGGCTGTAACTGTCTTCTTTACAGTCAAATAGATGGGTGATGTAATTTTAAACCCTTATAATAAAAGAAGCTGAACAATTTTTTTTGTCTACTGAAAATCGACCCATTTTTCCACAAATCTGGGCTATAAACTATAAACAGGTGGCGTCTCTTCAGTGATCTGCTCTGTAAAAATTATTTTTATAAAATAATACAAAGAGCATCTAAGATTTTTGGCTTTCAGCTGTGAATTGTAAGCATATAGCAATATGTGTGATCATAAAACACATGTTCTGTTAATTTGAGAGGAGCTTAAAAAATAAATAAATAAATAAAACTTTACATTTATTTCATGCAGTTACTGATTAATCTGCCTTACGATTTGTTCATGTAAATATCCTGCAGCCTCCACCACAGTAAATTCTATAAGAAAGGATGGGTGGCCAATAAACTCCTCTGTCAGTAGCCTATTAAATCATGGCATGATCTAAAAGTGCAAATCAATCATGAAGGCCTGAAAAATGTTACGGCTATTTTCACCCCTTCGTTACAGCACTAAGTGAAAACGAGCAGGAGCTTCAGACCCTTTTTAAACAGGTACAGACCGCTGGAGTGACTCCATCATAACTGCTCTGCCATCCATAATTCACAACACGCAGCTTACATTATTTATGGCTGTATTAGCATTCCATAATAATCTGCTCATTCCCCAGAGAAATTCAGCAGCAAAGCTACGTGCAACTAATTAAAAGGAATGATTGCAGATAATAGGATTAAGCCATGAATGATGTGTCCGGTTCAATGAGGAAATGACCTGTGAAGTGTTTGTCTTCTGAAAGTGAGCTCACATTGATATCAAGGGTTCTACTCTTATCAGTGACCTGTGGGTGGACAGAGACGTGCAGTGCAGCAGTGACTGTATCCTCTGAGACACCACTGACGGCTCCCTAACAGCAAAACAGGCTTCCTTTATTAGGATGTAGAGGTTACACAGGGGTCAAAAGAGCAAGCACATTAGCCTGCCCACTTAAACCCTTAAAATTATGGTTCTTCAAGGGTTCTTCAGTAAAGAAAATGGTTCTGTACAGAACCGTTAACACTCAAAGAACTCTTTGCGTTCTGTGCATCGTGAAAGGGTTCTTCAGATTGATGGAGAATGTGCTATAGATGGTTCCCTATAGAACCTTTTCGAAAAAGGTTCTTCTATTGTTACAGGCTTGACATCGTAATGGTAGAACCCGTTTTGCTGCAATATAGAACCTTTTCTTCATGAGGATGTAGAGTTTACACAGGGGTCAAAAGGGCAAGTACATTAGAACGCCTATTCATCCTGCGCTCTGCTACACACTTAAAAATGATGGTTCTTCAAGGGTTCTTCAGTAAAGAAAATGGTTCTGTATAAAACCATGAACACTCAAAGAACCCTTTGCGCTCTTTGCATTGTGAAAGGGTTCTTAAGATTGATGGAGAATGTGCTGTAGATGAAAAGGATTCTATATAGCACCAAAAAGGGTTTGTCTATTGTAACAGGCTTGACATCGTAATGGTAGAACCCGTTTTGTTGCTATATAGAACCCTTTCTTCATGAGGATGTAGAGTTTACACAGTGGTCAAAAGAGCAAGAACATTAGCCCACCTACTCATCCTGCCCTGTGCTACACACTTAAAAATTATGGTTCTTCAAGGGTTCTTCAGTAAAGAAAATGGTTCTATGTAGAACCATGGACGCTCAAAGAACCCTTTGCGCTCTTTGCATCGTGTAAGGGTTCTTCATACTGATGGAGAATGTGCTGTAGATGGTTCCCTATAGAACCTTTTTGAAAAGGGTTCTCCTATTGTTACGCGTTTGACATCATGATAGAAGAACCCTTTTTCAGGAAGCTTCTATATACAGGGAGATTCAAAAAGATTCATCCGATTTCAAAATGATTTATTTCACTTGTAAATCGTTACAGATCAATGCAGTGAACTGTAAATGGTTTAAATGAGCATAAAGTTTATTATGTAATTGTACATGGTCTCAGTTTGAACCTCCTCCAGCTGTACAGACAACATCAACACCATAGTCAAACTCATCCCATACTGGATTGAGCATGTCGGGTGTCGCTGCACTCACGGCTCTTTCAGTGCGATTTCGGAGATCATCCAGTGTTGTGGAACCAACGGCGAACGCTCTGAGCTGTTGGAGCTTCACTGCCCACGAAAATCACACTGCACAGTTCTGACGGATTCACTCTTATTGAAGTGGAGAACGCAGAACGCTTTCTGCTCAGGGGTCTCATCTCCTCTCAGACTGAAGGGAGCCATCTTCCACTGACAGTCAGAAACTCTATGGCCTCCTCTTTCAGTTGGTATCTGATTGGTTCCTAGGAGCCTCGAGGCTGTAAAAATATGGCGCTTTGAAATTGGATTAATCTTTTTGAATCACCCTGTATTTTACGGGCTGGATAGAATTGCACTGTGGGCCTGATCTGGCCCGCAGGCCTTGTGTTTGCAGTGCATGGGATGCACAGTCCTGGTCCTGGAGATCTGCCACCCTGGAGAGTTGAGATCCAGCACACCTGACTCAGATGCTCCTGAAGGCCTTCATTAACTGGATCAGGTGTGTTTGATTAGAGGTGTAACTAAGCTAACTAAGTAACTAAACTAATAAGAAGGTATCAATAAACCGTTAAATCAATAAACTATTAAAATGAAAATATAGTAACTTAACAAGTAACAGATCAGATAAGGATTAAATTAAAAAGATAAATTAACAAAATAGATGTAAGACGACAGACAATAATAAGAAAGATAAAAAAGTAAAAGAACAGCTAAGACGTAGCTAAAACATACCAAAAATCATCTTAAAAGTTAAATAAAACCAAATAATATGACCCAAAGGTGTCCTATAGAAAAAACACAGTGGTAAGGTTAATCATTAAGCCAAATCCCATTAGAAAGCAAATCCATTAAGTTTTAATCCTAATTGTTTTAAGTGTTAATGATAAAAACTAAAGTCGGAGAGTGAAAGTGACCAGTGTTGGGTCATTCATTGGTGTCTGGGACTTCAGTAGAATGAAACAGAAATATGACACGTCATAATTCTTAAATACCGCAGTACATTTTATCACTGAGTGTGTTTACATGCACTTAATAATCTGATAGCTGCAGAAAATCAGATTTTGTTAGTAATCCGATCAACACATTTACATGTTCTTGAGTAATCAGATAATGGGGAAACTCCAGGTCTACGTGAGTCGGATAGTAATCAGATTTCTGCTTTACAACCAGCCAATAAACTCTCAGAAGTGACGTAAACGTAACATAAAACTCATGCCGCATTTTTTTTTAAACATTGCGCCGCTTTCCCTGAAAATATGAACATACATCATCTAGAAGATGAAGAATATTTAAATCCTTCGTTTGGTTTCGGTGCCTCTCCATAAGTGTTCTGCTGCGTCTGTGCAGACTGAGAAATCCGAAAGAAATCAGAGTAAGAGTTTACATGCACTGAGAAATCTGATTACTGAGCTAAAATCCAGCTCCCTTTATCAGATTTATGGTTTGGAGTATGGTGTTTACATGACCATATGAATAATCGGATAACTGCAGAAATCTGATTATGATCAGATTATTGAGTGCATGTATACACACTGTATGTTATATGGCCCAGCCCCCGTACAAGACACAGAACCTATTAAAACAGCAGTGAGAGTGTATGCCTATGTTTGACAGCCAATGTTTATGAAGCATAGGGGATTTCCAATCCTGGCAACCCTACACTTTACACATATCTGTGCTTTGGCCCATCTAGAATTTGGGCCAGACAGGGAAGACAAGGAAGAAAAACAAGCCTCAATCAGCAGGCAAACACAAAAATGACAAAATACTGAAAACTTTATTTTTTTTTTTGCAAAACATTTTGTACAATGCAAGGTCTGATCTGTAGGTCACAGACTTGGAGAGGCAAACAGAAAATCAGGACTAATATGTAATATTGTTTGTCACCATTTCATTAGAAAACGTGCCATTTGACCAAAAACAGCTGGCTGAATTGCTGATGGAAAAGGAAGACAAATGTTACAAGATAGAAACAATAAAATTATAATTGAAATAATGATATTGGGAATTCAGGCTTAACCATAAAGGTAAAAAAATGCAACATTAAATATCTATCAAAAAATAAAAACTACATCTACCGGAAATCATCTAAGAAAAAAAGATTATAAAATATATACATTGCATTCAGAGGTGGAACATGTATTTGCTAGTTTAGACTCTAGTTCGCGGTTCTCTAATCTACAGTGGCATTTTAACAGAGAAGACTTAAATGGCTGAAAATCTCAATCTTCAAGTTGACAATCATTAGCTTAGCTGTAAATACCGGATAAATCGCTCATTCTATAAAAATACAGATTTGCTACAATAGGAAAGAAGGTTGCAGTTTCTTGATCAACCCATTTTTACAAAGTAACACAATTAAATAAATTAAAGCATCAGTAACGTCCTTATTTGTGAGGCTGGTTGCTTAAATTAATGATAAAGGATTTATAAATAGGGACAATTTACATCCATTTTATAGTCGTTTACCTTTTAATACTTAATTCAAATCTGCCAATATCACGTGTGAAGCAAAACTCGGAGCTTCTGGTTAATTACATGCTGCAGATAGTTCTCTTTTTCTCCGACACCCCTGACAGTGGCTTTAGGTTATAATTAAAGTTAGATATAATTTACATTTCCTGCTACGAAGGTTTCAACACCTTCACATTTTAGTACATAAAGAAGTGGAAATGCATATATTATATCGCTGCTGCCGGATCAAAACCTGGTACCTCCAAAATGGTAAGGAAAAAACCTACTTTACTTTTAATGTAAGTCAACGGAACCAGACATTTAGGTTATGTCTTTTAGTCAATTCATCATGAAATTTACATACAATGTAAAAGGCAACGACATCAGCGATATATTATATGCAACTGTATCATATACATTAAAGCCTTCATTAAAATAGTGGAGTGTTTGCCTTCCAGCAAGGCTAAAATGGGCATAAAAAGATTTCTTATTATTCTTTTGAGAAAGATTTAGCAACGATTCTCCTACCTGAAAAAAGGTGTTTGGATAGCTAGAACCAAACTAACCTTTTTCCAGAACAGGAGAGAAGAAACTGACAACAGACCTGAGGTAGCAAAGCCCAATCTTACAAACTTTGGATAACATGTCTACCCATAGTGCATACCATGCCTAAAATGAATTAAAACAAAATAATAGTAATAATAATAAAAAATAAAAAAAACACTGAAAATCTGCATCAAAATATATACAAAAATTAAGACAAAACCTTCTAGTTGATTCTTTTGTTGTTTTATCACGAAGCACTGGTCCTGAGAGAGCACATAACTGCTTGTTCATACTATACAAATAATTAAAAAACAAAAAAAAAAAGCATTTATATCCCATCATACATAATATACAAAAGCAGTATACCAAAACTGTATTCTTGCAAAATATTTTTGAAAATTAAAAAAGCAAAGCAAATGGTGTAATACTTCAAATATGTAAGAAGGTACTGTAAGAGATGATGCTATGTAAATGTATGGCGGAGACTGAGTAGAAAAAGATTTATGTACATTAATATACATATTCAGGAGAGCTTAAAACTGGGGCAACTTCAGAAATTGACGTTTTACGAAAGTATAATTTAAGATACTCCGAAAATGACTTTAATTAAAAACAATATTTTGTTCATTTCTAGGACTCAAATAGCTGCCAAGCTGCTCAATGACAACAGCTTAATTTGTGCTCGGTTGTTTGGTTTTTCTCCAGAAATTTAGCACGCCCCAAACGTCCATTACAATTCTCAGTATATCCCAGGGAAGATGCGGTAACGCACTGCTTTGCAGTACTCCCCCCACGCCAAGCCATACTTTTTCCTACACTGGCGCTCATCTCGTGCATTGCGATGGACCAGCAGGAGAATCAAGTAGGTGAGGTAAAAATAAGGAATCACGTGATTGAAACCTGCAGAAGAGCAGAGAAACATAAGAAACAGCATATGAACACACAATTCTGATACAGACAAAAGGTTTTTCAATTTTTTTTATAGGCTCTGCAATCAGAGGTCAGTTTAAACAGATCAGATTACTATCATACAAATCTTAACACTCACCACATGATAAGGACCAGGCCAGAGCCATAATGATGTCACCGAGGTAATTCGGATGACGGACAAAACCCCACAGACCAGAGACGATGAGACTCTTTCCAGTTGCAGTCGGAATCGTTTTCAGATCTGAGCATATAAAAAAAATCAATAAATTGACAGTTTTTAAAAAATCTAAATTAAAACTCAAACCATTTTTATTTCCTTTCCCCCCTTTTTCAAAGAGCCAAACAGACACTTACGAGACAGTGCAGGATCTGATGGATTTCTTCTAAAGGCAAATTTCTGAGAGTTGGCTTTCCGGAAAATGTAATAACCAACAACTGATGGGATCATAAGAGAAACCGATTATTAAAGAATTTCTCAAAAACAACTTCGCATTCTCATACAAACATATGACTTTGTGTGTAACCAAAAGAAACTCACTGACCATTCATTATGATGATGGCTACAATCCAGAACACGGAGAGGTCACTGGGATGACTGGCGAGGTAGTAAGCCTGGCAAGTGAAAGTAAAAGGAACCCAGGCCAGATCTCCAAATGCCAGCATGAACCCAAAGCCGTCATACACTATATCCATCATGGTTAGAAGTTTCTCCTGAGATTGAGATAGTTTCATTGAGCATTCAATAACCAAGCCTTTAACTCAGTAGTAATTAAGAGCAATGGAACAGGACATGTTGCTGCATAAAACAGTTCAGCCTTTTCTCTCTGAGCGACGCAGAGAAACTTGTCCATGCATTTGTTACGAGTTGATCACTGTAATGACCTTCTTCCTGGACTTCCTAAGAAAACAATACATCCCTTACAGAGAAAACAGAGAGATCAGATCACTCCCGTATTAAAAGAGCTGCACTGGCTGTCTGTATCATTCAGGATAAGTTTTAAAGTTCTGCTACTAGTTTTTAAGGCTCTAAATGACCTTAAAGCACCGTTTACATCAGAGTGCCTGTCTGTTTATGTTCTACCACATAATCTTAGATCTGCAGATACTGACCTTCTACAAATACAGAAAACAATGGAGAGGCCTCATTAAGTTATTCTGCTTCTAAACTGTGGAACTCAATTCCACACTTTATTAGACAGTCAAGCTCAGTGATCACTTTTAAGAAGCATCTAAAAAAGTCTCTTTAACTCAGCATTTAATTAAAACTCTGTCTTGTGGTCTTTATCTTTCAATTTGATCTGTTATTTTCTTATAATTCTAAATTAATACTTACAATTTCTTGAATAATTATTTATCATCTGTCTGTAAAACAACAACAACGGTACCTCATGCCAAAGGCCATCAGCAACCCAAAGCAGCTGGAAGCCGTTCACCAGGAGCATGGCTGGGGAGGGGGTGTCAAGATTCTGGCGTTTCATCTCAGCAAGTAACATGGCAAAGTTTATCACAAGCTACAAAAAGGAGAAGTAATATGAAGCAGCTTTTAACAAAGGTGATGTAGTCAAAAACAAAAAAAGAACAAAGAAACAAAAAAGAGTGTGTTTTGTTTTAAATATTGTTGCTGTTGGAATCTCCAAAATGACTTTACAGGACAAAGAAAAGGAAAAAAAAAGAAAAGGGGAAAAACCAAAAAAACAAAACAAAAAAAAAAACAACAAAAAAACAAATAATCTACTTTTAATGTAAGTCAATGGAATCAGACTTTTTCCCACCCCAAGTAATTTTGGGCTGTTTATTTTAGTCCATTCAACATGAAATTTGCAACAAAAAAGGCCAACAGGTGTTTTTATATTATGTCAAAAACTGAAAAACGCCAAAAAGGGAGATACGAGGTTTTGTTCCGCCAGCAGCGATACGCATACATTAGCTACAAAATGATAAATTTAACCAGCAGAGGATGCAACAGTGATATCGGTTTAGCACAGATTAAGTACATACATAATACAAAAAGTAACACACGACTACATGAAAAAACAAAAACAGTTTAGTTTTGACTGCTTACCCAACCAATCAGACCTGGACGCATTTCGCAGAAGAATTTAATATCAAAGTTCTTGATGCGTGGGTTCAGCTCACGCCCCATGAAGAAGTCATAAAACACATAACCTGTTCAAGAAAATGAGGAAACTCTTGAATAATATTAACAAAATCACTACTCACAGACTGACTTCACAGCACTGTAGGATTTCCATACACAGACACACTTACCAGAATTGCCAGCAGGGGCAAGCTCATCGACAGCAGCCCAGCGGGAACGGATAAACAGGTAAGTACTGAGAAGAACGGAGATGATCAGGGCAGAGGTGTAGAACTGCAGGAAATGAGCGTGGATGTAGCTGAGATCTACTTCGTTATACACAGCAGCACCAACCGCCATCGCACTGATGATCAGCGCATAGAAGCCTGATAGACAGAAGACAGGACTCAACTTCCAGGAGTATCACATCATTTAAGAACCCCTTTAAAAACAACTACTTCTATTAAATCACAACTTTTATGTAAACAATTAACAGTAAGGTGGAATATTAAAAGAAATCACTGAAAATCAGATTGACTCACCATTGATCCTGTATTTTAATGTTGTCCCGTTCTTCAGAGGCATTCCTTCAACAACCTAAGGAGGGAATTAATGAAGGAGGGACAGATAAAGAGAAAAGACTGAACTACACATGACCCTGACTGAGTCTGGAAAAACAAGAGAGAAAAAGAGCAACAGATAAACCTAAGTAGTGACTAAGTCTAGTGACACAGCAGACTTTTTAAAATCTTGTCTGGTACACTATGAATAGTATTCTGATCATGTCATAACTGTGCTGCTACCATTTTCGGTAGAAAACTTGTAGTTCATTCAGCAGTGGTGTGGCTATTTGTAAAGAGATTAGCCATTATCAGTCCAGCAAAGGCAGTAAATCAAGTTTTTTTTTCCCTTTCAAATCTACTTTTTAAAGCAAACTAACCAACATGTTTGAGCGTATTGCCTTGATTTTATCTGATTTGTTGCTGCAGTGATGGATAAAATCTGAAATCTAAATGGCTGAGATTTCCCCACTGCAATACTAGCGCCTCATTCCAAACCGCATAGTAGCACAGTAAATAACGTGTATCAAATAGTGCAGCACCACTGGAAGTGCGCTCATTAGCAGAGTAAAGTACAGAAGTGTTTGGTTGAGGACGCGATCAGCCAGTGCAACGCATTCAATAGTCTAGCAGCTAAAGTGGCTAATTCAGCAAAACGTTTAAGGTATTTGTTGATCTAGGATGCATTTATGGACCCTTTTTACAGTCAGGATTTTACTTCCAGTTTAAGCGCCAATAGGGTAAAACTCACTTCCACTCCATATAAAAACTGCCGAAGTGAAGTCACAATGTTACAGTAGTGTACCATAATGCTCAAACATTGAGTTACAACAGCCATATTTTAGTTTTCCTGCACTGTCGTGACAAACGGTGAGAATATAAAATGGATGGAAGCACCGATTTAACTGTAAACAGAGCTAAAATGCTGTATGTGTGTTGTAGCCCTGTTTTTACTCAGTCTGCTGCAGCTGCTCACAACAAGCAGCCTCAGTGTCTTTGTACAACCTGCCAGCGATTTTTTATAATATTTATGTTTTAAAAAGAAAGAAGAACTTTTATATGGTGGTATGAATTTCGGTAGCCTGTTTACTACGTTTACTACGTGGCTTTTCCCAGACCACAAACAACTAGATAGCTATGAGAAATGGAAATCTAAATTTTACAGCATAACCGTGATGCTAAAATACAAGTTAGCTAGGAGTTGCGTTTTTGACTGAACAGTGAAAGGCAGCTGTTATCCGAAGTACTGCTTCAAACATTGTCATGAAACTAAAAGAATGATGCTGTTTGGCAGATTGCTAACATAGCTAGCCAGCTAGCTTTAAAGTCTGCTACTCATATGAAGCTGGTGTTCCTTAAACTGCTAACGGTAGGCTGGCTAGCGCATGTAGCCTGCTAGCCTACCATAAACTAAAAGATCTATCAAATAGGCTATTCATATAAAAAGGATTGTTTTGCATTTATAAATGTTAAAGAAGTCGCTGGCATGCTGTAAATGTGTCACAGAGACTGTTCCATGTTTACCAGCAGCTAATGTAAGCTAGCCCCTTGTTTGGGAATACAGCTACAGTTAGCTAACTAGCTACATCTAAAAGTCTGCCAAATTCATACATACGAAAGTTCTTCTTTCTTTTAAAACACATATTACAGAAATTGCTGGCATGTTGGCAGCTGCAGCAGCAGTAAACAGGGCTACACCACACATACAGCATTTCAGCTCTGTTTAAGGTTTAATCGGTGCTTCCATCCACTTCTTATCCTCACTATTTGTTGTGACAATGCATGAAAACTAGCCCAGTGTTTGAGCATTATGGTACACTACTATAACATTTTAACATCGCTTCTGCAGTAATTATATAGAGCGGATGTTAGTTTTACCCTGCTAACACTTAAACCGGATGTAATGGTGACTCTTTGTAAGGTCCAATTTGAGGTAAATTAATGCGTTTATTGAATGAAGATGATGTTGGCATCTTGTTCACCAGCTTCTCTTTCGAAGTTCATTCTACATTTAAGGCACCTTAATGAAACTGAAACACCATTTCAGGTGGAACGGAAAATGTGAATAAGACCCTGGCGAATAAAGAACTTCAGCTTCATATATGTGTGTGTATTATTTAAGAGCTTTCGCAGTTTTGGTATTAATTTTTATTAGTTTTTTTTAAATCTCACATATCGTAATTTTCGGAAGGGGTGCAGGTTCTATGGATCCAGCCCACCAATCTAGCTAATCCTCGCTCTATAGCATTTTCTGGAGACTGCATCTAAAGGGTCCACATATCTTTTTATGCGTCCACAAGTCTTTTCCAGGGTCTTTCTGGTCTATTTTGCTTGGTTTTCATCCATCTGCAGGGTTGCAGCAGCAACAGCGGTGATGAGATGGGTCTTTCAGAGCATAAGCAAGGTAATACTCTGACTACCAAGATGGCGACGCGGCTTTCTTAATGATGTAATTGAATATTATAAAAATACAAATATTAAGCTCTTCTCTTAGATGAAAATTTTTTTTTAATACAACCATTGGTTGTACTAAAATACTAAAAAAATTACTAAAAACTAATAAAGAATATTTTTACCTGCTTCTAAATGGTTCTCTAAAACCTAAAAACAGATTTTTTTTTCCACACCATTACATATCCAGGGACTACACGAATGCGCACGACGTTTAGTGTACCATAAAAGGAATCTGTGACCTTGTGAACTTTTCAGGAGGTGAAAAGATCATTTATGTGTAAATGGTTCTAAACAGGTTCTCAAAAGGCCCTTTAAGAGAACAAATGTTTCCCAAGAACTTGCAGAATCAGCCAGAAAACAATCATTTTCAAAAACTGGCCTGACTCAAGAGGCTGAAGAACAAGATCTCCTATTATCCAGCTCTCTTTCCAGCTTGTAGCCTATTCCTGATGAGTAATCTAATTTAGCCCGTCCTGCTGAAGCTTATGAGCGATACAGGAATAAGAGGCAGTGGGTAGAGTAGTCATGTGCCTGGGCTCCAGGTCACGAGAGTCATGTGATTGGAAATACCTTGCCGACAGGGAGAAGAGAGAGAACAGCCTGGAAGAGCAGCCAGAGGAGCACAATGCCAAAGACCTGGCAGTCCCAGAGAGAATGAAGCGGAGGAGGCATGAGGGGGAAGTTGAGTAGACTAGCATCCTCCTGAGCACAGAGTATAAGCAAGGCCAGTACCATCACAGGCAGAAACAGCAGCCAAAATAACACACCTAGAATGAGAAAGAAAAGTGAGCAGGAGTCTTGAAATACATCTACAAAAGAGCTTCTTTTAAGGGGTTTCTTTGACCTGATATTTGTGTGAAAGTGTGACAGTGTGCAGGCCTCTTACCAAACCTCCCTCCAAACTCCAGCTCTGTAGTTTTGATGGCTTCCCGTGGTGTGGCCTGCTGCAAAATTGACTCCGCCTTTTTCTCCAGCTCTACGGGTCGGCCGTCACCCTGGTCCTTCCTGCGGCGAAGGTTGTAACGGGCTCCTACCTGGTTCTCTGATTCTTCCTCAGTCTTCTACAAGAAAACAATAAACAAGAATGAGTGTGACATTCATAAAACAAACAAAACTTCATTACAGAGCAATCAACTTCAGCTGTGCAAGCTCTTGCTGTCCTTCTCACAGTCCCCCTTTAAAAGCTAAGCAAATACTGCACTATTCTTAGGCTCAGATGGACTTCCGAGTATATAAAAGAATATATATAATCCTACTTCACAAGAAAACACCTTATTTCATCAAGAAATGAAATACAAAAAGAAAAAGATTATGTAATCTGCAGCACCTCTCATCCATGAATGTGATTAAGTAATTAAGTAGTCCAGTTTAGATTCAAATTCAAAGGAGTGCACATTATACTGTACTTTTAGAAACAAATATGAAAATGCTACAAAGTGCCTTCTGAATCACATTAAAAACATTAACCGTATTAAAAAGACATGTTTGAAAATGTGTGTCTGGGTAATTTTCTAAAGTCAGCTGTAGCTTTGTGCCCAAAGACATAGAGCCCACTTGCTTGCACGAATACCATTTCCCATTTGACAATAAAATCACAAAAGTATTTAAAGAAGATTAAAGAAATTGTCACACGGCCATGACTTTCACAGATACACGATGCATCCTCACCTCATTGACTTTGTTAGCTGTATCATTTTCCTCTTTCTTTTCATGCCTATTGTTGCTATTGTTCTCAAGTGGCACAGCCTGAAACAATTGGGGACACGAGGCACACATGTGAGGGAAACACAGAGGAAGAAATGAAGGGGACAACATTTTTATGGTTCACCAAGAATGATCCAAACAAGATAATAAAAGCATTTAAAAAGGAGAAAAACATAAATAAATAAATACAACGAAATAAAACACACTTGAGAGTTGGATGGAAAATGTTTAAACTAATACTTTGATAATTATGTTACTGAACTGTTATAAACGGTTTATAACAACTGTGCAAATACCAGAAGAAGGTATTTAAGGTCCATGCTCTGTTCTAACAGGTGAAACTCACAGGCTAATATTAACCTTCATCATTAAGGTCACTGAGTATGTCTCCATTTTCGTTGCCTCCACAGAAAATAAGCCGTTTCAAGCTGAACTCTGATTTCTCTGCACCTCAGCTGTTCCCACCCTGCTCTGAATAGCCTACCCAGAATTCATAGCAAGAATGATCTCAAATCAAAGTAACAAAAATCTGACCGTACTTACAAGAGAACAAAGATACGTCAAGTGTTTTCTCTCCCTCTGACACACACTTTCACAGGAAACTTAAAAAAAGACAGCATATTCAGACTGAGTGGGTGTCCTTACCACAGGAGTGAGGCGCACTTCTAGCACCTCTTTAAGTTTCTCCTTGCGCACTTCTGTGGTGCGAGATGAGGAGCGACGTGACGACCTGGCCGGTGAACGAGAGCGGCTTCGGCGAGTACGGCCCGGCGAGCGAGAACGAGAGCGGGAACGAGAGCGGCCCTGCTTGAACCCGGTCAGACTCTGCAAAGACAGGACAATGCTCAATGTGTGGAAACATGTAAAGTCACATGTACTTACACTATATTAATTACAAGTTAAGAGCACTACTACACAGAACACGCTTCCTTTAGCTTAAAGTTTCACAAGGGCATTTAACACAACATAAAAAGGCATGTTGAGCGTGGGAGTTGGGGGTTTTTACCTTGATATCTCCGTCTTTCAGCTCCAGCTCTGTGCCGTCTTTGTAGATGACGGTGTAGAGCTGAGTCTTGGGGTCGTACCTTAGCACTTTGACTTCATAATAGAGGCTACTGCCGGGCCAGCGGCCCATCACAGTATCCCCAGGCTGAAACCTGACAGCTGGCATCTTTTACCTACAGTTCAATACAGGAGACAAACATAAGCATCTGGAATGCACTGATTCTTTACATAGGCAACACAACTTTACACCCATTTTTCACCACAATTAACCAACAAACGTGTGAAACAACCACGACTATCAACCCACAACATAAATCATGTAACCTTTGGCTCTTACATCACATTTTAAGTGCCTCCTACAAGCATTTCATACAACAGAGACAAATGACCTCATGAAGAAAAAGTATGGTGAACCACAGATACACATTGCATGATGACAATGAAGCTGTGATGTCAGCAGTGGCTGTCTCAGAAGTGCTGACAGGCCTGTCCCCACCGGGCTGAATTACTGCGAGTACTTTCACACTGTAGTCTCTGCACATGCCCTTTTGTTGCCCCCTCAATAGCCTTTGTAAAAGGGATTCTGGTACCAGACAGGTAATAGCTACTTCTAGTCTTATTTTTAAACGATATACAGTCTTACCTCCTCCTCTAACACAGTGCTTCTCAATGCATAGATGCTTTGTAAGTATACCAAGGTTTGCGCGCTCCATGCTCAACACTATAACAAAACATTTAGATTACACCAATAACCCTCATTTCACACAAACAAACTGATTAAAATACAAAACCTTAACAAGATACTCATACGTACATGTGCTCAGCCAACAAATTAAACACCTTTACAGGGACTGGCGGCTTTAATCATATCAAAAACATTTTAAAAAGCGCAAAATTAAACCCAGATGCGTAAGGGAGTCGCCAAGACCAAAATCTGCATCTAATCTTACAAAAACATTCCATAGATTCCTCATTGAACAGAGACGAACCCAAAGATCTGAGTTTTGGTCCAGTCCTTGCTTGGCTTCCACACGGCTCCAGGGTGCAAAGTGAACGCAAACATCTCAGTCAAGTCAAAGATTCAGTGTTGGTGACTATAGATGGGGCGGGGCAGCCATTACAGACCCCCTACACCCCCCACCCCAACAAAAAAAAATCTTCATTGGGCAAATCAGAAACTTAAGACAGCAGCTAGCGTTTTAATACAGGGAACAGACTGAACACAGTTCCCTTTAAATCACTCAGTCTATTAAATGCAATCTATAAAAACAGGACAGTGAGTTATACTGAAACTGTGCCAATGTTACAGCAAATCTAAAGGAAGTCACCACGGCAGAAGCCTTTTTAAAAAATGGTAGATAGTTTTCTTTAATTCTGTTGAACTATACATTGACCTCGTTGCTAATTTCGACAACAGGAGAACTGCGTCCACTTAATAAGAAAACCAAGGCAATTAATACATACACCAAGGGAAGATACTGCTCCTTTAACAAAAGGTTCAAGTGACAGACTCAATGGAGGGAAAACGTCATGTATTCAAACAGGGCGAGTATCAGGCTACACATGACATTCACCGTAACTCTATACTCAGGACTTGCGCACCACAGCTATAATAAAACACACTGAAATAATTTCACTCACGTTTCTTTTAAATCTACGGGACATTGCCGGCAGCAAGAAGCCACAAATGACAGGCACTGTGGCAATAACAGATAACGTTAGAAGTTAGCCAGCTTGCTAGGTTAACTAGGTTAGCCAAGGTTAACACAGGCTAAAAAACAGTCTAACAGCGACTTTGCGAGATGGGAATGAAACATCGATCAATGTTAGTTAACTATCTTAAAAATACAAGCCCGTGTGGAAAGTTCGGCGCCAAAAAACTTCATCTGACACACCTGTAAGATTCAGGCAGCGGAGAAGAGGCGCGAGAACAAGTTTCGGTTGGCCGAGCTAAAGCTAAATCAGCTAAATAACAGACGTTAGTTTAAATTTAGTAACGCTAAATAAGGTCGTTACGCCGCACACGGCATTTCTCTCCGACATGGACGTCAACTTACTACAGATTTAGCTACTAAAACCAAACTTACAGACTAGTGAGCGCTAATCAAACTGAACGCAAAGCGGATAGGTTTCCTGTGACAAGCCGGTTAGCAGAGCTAAAGCTAACTGAAACAGCGAACGCCCACCGCGGGACTGCGACTCAGTAACTCCGTTCAGCGGGTTAAACATAAAAAACAGGCACTGGGTCTGGTTTCAGACAGACAACATGCTGCGCATACATTAAATAATTGTTTAAAATTATAGAAAAATGCGTGCTTTTCCCATTTTAACGTAGTTAGGCAAGAGTTCAACACCTGCGAAACGGCTCTCAGTGCAACATTAGCTTAGCGCGGATCTCGAAGCGGACCGACTGTGTCCAAGTACCGTTAACTCAGTTTCCCAACAAAGGCTTTTAGATTTAACACAAAAGAACAGTCATTGAAATCATAAACGCAGTATTTCCTACCTGTTGGTGAAAATAGACAAGCGTTTAGTACGTAAACCAGAGTCGGCTCGCTTTAAGTTCATAAAAAATAAATATATATTTCAAAAAAATACCGTCCCGGCGCAGCGTCCGTTCCTCCCTCTCTGAACACGCAACCTACCAGCGTCTGTGATGGCGCGAAGCTTAGCGATTGGCTACCAGCCTTCTGTTTTTGAACGTCCCCGTGTTGTGATTGGACGACGGCGGATTTTAAATGGTAAGAGCCAATCAGCGCTCTCCTCCGAGATCTGCCTCTAGTTGTAGTTATGTCAGTTTTGTGCTTCACAAAATGGAGTCTGCGCTCCTTCAGCGGAGAAGAGAGCTCGATGTGTGAGGAGAGATGGGTGGGAAAAGAAGGGAGACAGGGAGAAAACGACTAGAAGAGTTAACGTTTTCGTTCTGTCTGTAAAGTGAAAAGGTTCTATATTTAGTGAAGATTCACATTTGAGACCTTTTTTCTACGAAACGGTCGTGTTTTTTAATTAAAAAACCCCCAAAGCTTAAGCAGTAACGTTACTGAGGCTCTTCTGGTTGTTGGAGATGGAGTGAAATGTCATACACGACGGTAAAAGGCTGTTCTTCGCAGTAAGACTTACTAATGTAAAAGCTGGTGGTTTCTAACAACAGTGGAGGTTGTCACAGTATTATGTAATGTTAATGTAATTTTTGACTTGCCAATGTAGGTGGATTGAATAAATTTGAAAGTATTTTTTTTTACATTTTTTAAATATAATTTATTACCGACCCTTTATTTTATGATAAATTGTCGTCGAAGCAATCGTATTACTATACTATAAAATATAGTCTTTTTTATTATTTTATTTAATTTCCTTCTTTCACACATTGGTAACTTTAGCCTAAATTTTAATCTAGTTATTTTGTGGTATGTAGAAAAAAAGAAAAAAAAAATCCCCTTTTCATACCCTACAGATTCTTAAACTCCCAGACTTTATTTCTAGGTTTTCATCATTAAATAACTGCCAACATTATGGGCACACATTGGGTGCCATGTTTTATTCCTGTGTGTAAATGCAAAATAAATAAATAGATAAAAAAATAATAATAATAAAAAAAAATGCAGTGCCATGTTATAGCTAGGTATGTGCTGATACATACATGTAATATCACAGTAAAAACCTTTTATCATGGTTTACGAAATCGTCACTATATTGTTTTAAGGGAAAAAAAAAACATACAAACATATACATAGATAATACATACATACATACACACACACATGGCATGTTCTAAATGCCATTTTCAACAGTGTTGGGGAATTTCTGTATATAAAAAAACCTGCCTGATGGGATTTTTGGTATCCCCTGGATTTTATTTATTTATTTATTTACATATTTAGGAGGAGGGACCTGTTGGTAGACCACATTTAGCATGAAAAGACAGAACTGTGAGTTTTACTGGGAGCTGTGAAGGTGCTCAGAAAAATAGAGCACTAAGCTGTACAAACATTAAAGTGTCTATATCATAGTTTATTTGGAAATATACAGGTTTAATGTAGTCTGTGAAGACTGTTAAAGTTTCAAAGTGTACTATTCACTCTGCAGGCCGTATGCAGTCCATATATGGAAACCAAGATGTTAAAACAGCCCATTTTGAATTTATTGTTTTTGTGACGTCACGAAAAACTAATGCACATGAAGCTGCCTGTTGGGCAGGAGTAGTTTAGCTCCACCCATTCAGGCTTAGGTTATGAGGAGTATTTCAGCCTGACTGCTTTTTGAATGAGGCACAATATGAGCCAGTCAGAGTCAAAGGTCTCTTACATGTATTACTTTTAAAGGCTCAGTAAAACAGCCTGTTAAAATATAAGGGATAAAAAAAGGTTGCAAAATGGTCATGTAACAATGAATTATGACTGTTTTTGGTACACAAACCCACACATGTTATAAGTGAACCTTAGGAACTAAAAAAGACAAGAAAAATGTAGAATAGGGCCCTTTAAATAAAACATGGGATCATAAAGTGACAGCGTGGTGGGAGCTGGTGACACCAAAAGCAACTCTACGTAAAATTCTCTGGTGAAACTGCAACTTTTTTGACTAAAAGGCAATGACAGTGATTCAAAGTGTCCATGATAACTACACTGTGTTCAATATCAGTGTATACGTTATTACTGAATATTACCACACATCTAGTTATAACTACACAATCTAAAAATGTAATAAAGGATTTATAAAAGCATGTTTGCTTACATCCAGTTAATTCAGTCACTTTTACTGTCTAAGTTGACCAAATGCCATAGTAGAGTCATGGCACATGACCTAAAAACTGCAGTCTCACTCTCAAACACTTGCTATAAATCTCATCCGCCAACCATCGTCTGCATGAGGTAATGAAGCAAAAGCACTCTTGGCTTCCTGTCTTGCAAGAGTTACACTTTTAGCAAGCTGCGTTTGACTTCAAGTGAAATAGAAATAGAATAGAAATCTACATTCAACCCACTTCACCAGGAGCGATTCGTATACATTTCTATGGAAAATACAGTTACACTGCTGCATTGTCAGCTTTAATGGAGAAGATCGGCCCAAGCTTGAACAGAAAGACAAGTGGAGGGGGTGTCTTCAGTGAAGTGTAGCTGCAAGATCCTGAGCTCTGCAACTGTTGCAGTTAAGTCCAACCTCCTTCCTGTTTGCCTCATTTGAACTGTGGCTGCAAAAGGCGACAGAAAAAGATGAGCAGATGATGAGGCGTGAAAGGAGGGTGATGTCATGCACTACAAGGTTCATGTGAAGAGCATTAGAGGGGGTGCATGCAGTAGGCAAGTGGAGCTTTCAACTGCATATGATAGAAATTATGCTTAAAATTTATCATACCAGACTGTATTTCCATGCATAGTGTCTTATTCAAAACCTGTTTGCTTCACTATCCTCTCTTTAAGCTCTTATTGACCAGGGTATGTTTTGGTTTGTCCATCTGAATTTACATGATCAAATTGTAAGGCAAATTATTCAGTAACTGCATGAAATAAATGTATTTTTATTTATTTTTTGTAAAAGCTCCCCTCAAATTAACAGAACGTGTTTTATGATCACACATATCGCTATATGCTTACAATCTACTGCTGAAAGCCAAAAATCTTAGACGCTCTATGCATTATTTTGTAAAAGTAATTTTTACAGAGCAGATCACTGAAGAGACGCCATCTGTTTATAGTTTATAGCCCGGATTTGTGGAAAAATGGGTCGACTTTCAGTAGAGTTCAGCTTCTTTTATTATAAGGGTTTAAAATTACATCACCCATCTATTTGACTGGAAAGAAGACAGTAACAGATCTCATACGACACCCACCTTCTGAATGTAGCTTATGAAATATGAAAGTTATGAAGAGTATGACAAAGTGCGTTTTGGAACCACCGGCGGTCTCAAGGAGTTGAAAACATTAATACCACAAAACTAGCTGTTTATTGTTCAATCTGAAATGTCATGTATGGATTTATCGGCAAGTTCTGCTTTTTATTTGTGCAAAATTAAAAAGTTAAGATTTATTAAGATTCATTCCATGTGGTTTTGATGTGAAATGCACCGTTATAGAGAAACACACAGGACTGTTCAGTGGTGGTGATAGGAACCAGACGTCCAAAGCACAAAATGGTAAACACTGTCTGATGCCTTGGACGTAGTTCTACAGTAGTTTTACGATAAGCTTTTGGCCTAAAACATACTTTGCAAACACATGTAGGGCGCTTTAAGGCAAAATTGTACCCAAAAAACTCTGGTTGTTTTGGATATTAAATAAAATGACCATATTTGTGTTGCAGACATCATGACCCCTGGTTCCCTTCACCACCACTGTGAAGAAATCCAAGTTAGTACGGTTTTAGATCTGCACCAACTATGCAGAAGTTTTGAAAATCAATTCGAGTCCATGCAAGTATTCCCATCTTAAAATCCTTCAAGACCATTTTAAAATCACATAAAATTGAAATGATTTAACTCCAGAACTGCATCCATGGTCTCTTTGATTGAGAGACTCACCCAAAATAACGTATTGCAATTTTTATTTCATTTGCTCAAACAAAACAATGTTAGCATGTAAGAAACTTCTAATTAACATGAAAACAGTATGGTACAATGTGAATGATAAAATAGAAAAAAAAACAAAAAACAAAAAAACAAAAAAAGAGAGAGAGAGAAAAGAAACCGATAAATGCATTTCAGGAACATTCTGTTGAATTCTGTCCAGCACACATTTGAATAGTCCGATTTTCACAGCCGCTCCTGAAGATGGATACGTCAAGACACACAATGATTCAGTATCATCATTCCACTGATTCCCACTGCAGAAACTCTCCCATCTTCAGACCTTGCAAACATCCATGAGTAACCACTTAACACAAACCATACTGTAACAAAATAGAAAAATGGCATGATGGATAAATGCACGTCTTTATTTTTTCAAACTAACATCTTAAAGTCTCCCTTTTGTACTTTACTAAAGCAGGATGCAAAACATGTATGAGGTTATGACAGGCCGTAGAATTATTATTACTAGTCTTTTTTTTCCTTTTTTAAATCTTTGACATATTAAATGCAACTTCAGAACAAGGCACAAACCATGAAAATCACAAACAGATTTATCCGATGTATGAAATCAACCTCGATTGTAACATTTCACCTCCCTAACCGAAGGACCCCCCCGCACCACCACCACCACCACTGATTCTTTCCTGATGAGAAAACGAAGGCGGCTCAGGACAGTGTGACGTTCAGGAGATTGTTACTGTTGAACTTTGGTGAGATCGCCACGCGCGCGAAGGTGATGGCGTCGGCTTGCCAGCAGTTTCGTCGTGATTTGAATTTCTATGGAGTTTTAAAGTGCAATCAATGCTGTAAACACACTATACAAGCTTTCTGATTCCTTGAGAGTTTATGTTTGCATGATGGAGAATGGGTTAAGAAGTGATTTGTTTTGATTAAGATGTACGAAGGGCTTTTCGGCCAGAGATAAATGGTAAAGCAAACCAGCGACAACCATGAAAAGAACGAGAAAACACCAATTTTCACTCCAGTCTTATGTTGCTGATTCATCATGACTGATTGTACTTAGAGGTTTAAGCTTAAAAGAGCTTTCGGTTGAGCTTTCGGTTTTCCTAGTTAAACTTAATCATATTTAATGGAGCCCTATGGAGAACCACCACTGGGTGCCTTCCAGTAGTGGAAGGGCCATGTATAAAAAAAAACAACAAAAGGGTGGACTGAAGAAAAAACAAGCACTCTACATGGCACGAAGCTATCTGGAAATCTTTCGCTCGGATAACCCTTGGAAAACAGTTCTAATCTCGTCTAGCAGTTTGGTGGAAATCCAATACAGAGAACAGCGATTTTACAGTCTAAGATCTTTTGCACCCTTGATTTTGGAAACAAAAACACAGTACAAGGGGCTGCTGAGCATGATGGTGTACCTCTGTGATTTGATTATGGCTATAAAGAGGTGTTCGTGAAGAACTGCACCTAGCGATTTAAGGGAAAAGAACAAAGAAAGGTATGCAGTGTGGAAATAATCACTCATCCACAGATCGGGGGTAGAGTGGGTGATATCACCAAACAGGGAAACACATATGGGGGGAAACTGAGTGTCAGTGCTACACTTATTGCTTATAAACTGAAAACAATAGTCAATTTATTTTTCGTGGCAGCAATGTTTCCCATTTCATTCAGAACAAGACCAAGACATGCACTAAAATCAAAAGAAATACGAGAAAAGCCTGCAATGAACTCAGAGGAAAAAAAAAAAAATCGTTTCAAAAAAGTAGTTCTCATTAGCACTATCTACAGATGCGGTCTTGTTGATATTGGTGTTTCACCATCGTTTTGACTGAGAGGATTTTGGTAAAGAGCTACAATGAATTACAGTAGAAAGGCATTGTCCCACCTGATCTTCTCGAACAGTTCGTGAACATACAAGACAGAGAAAATATACGTAGTACAGTGGCTCATAAGAGACAGGCTTTTGAGCATTCGCCTCCAAAAGAAAACGTATCCAGATAATTACCAAAATTGACTGAGACTGTATCCCAAGATTACGTGACTAAGCTACTCGATATGGCCATGGCGTACGTTAGATCAGACATAATTAAATGAGTTGCAGGTATCTTTTTTTTGTCTTTAATGTACATATTTAGGTTAAAATAGTATCAGGAAGACAAGCTTTACAAAGTCCTGCAGCAATAAACTCTACCCAGTCCTTCAGTCAGTCGTTCGGCCTGATTCTAAGGTTATTCCTCAACTGTGCGAGGCGAGCTAAGCCCTACTTCACTTTACCGACTCCCGTCAACGCCGTCCGACCAAATGAGCCTGCCCTTTGCTAAGCAATGTGCCAAAGAATGAATGTCATCTGCTGGATATACAGTGTCACTCTTCCATGGTTAATACAGTATGTAGTTCAGTAATAGTTTGTGTTCTCCGCCCTCTTCGCAATTATTTCCCGTCGTTCTACTTTAGAGTCATCCATTGCATATTGACAGTCTTTTCTCTTTAAGTCGGCGTTCCTGCCAACTGGGTGGAGCATTGGGGAAAAAACTAGGTGTCACCCCCAGCCTATAGCTGCACACCTCCTGCGCTCAAGCTGTGTCTGTGTGCCCCAAACGGCGTCACCCTCAAATTTCTTCAGCATTAATACGGTTATTGTTATCACCACTGGGTTTAAACTCTTTTGTAAAATCTCCATTTTTGTTGCTTTTGAGAAAGTGTCAGAACTTGAAGCTGGCCCTGAGTGATGGGCCATGGTTGGAAAATCCAGGGATGCTGCGCTCTTTTACGCCGAGTTGGACTTGCCCAACTCCTCCCTGATCGCTGTAACAGAGAGAAAAACAATGGTCAGGAAACATTTCGAAGAACACAACACAATACAAATAGAATGTATATGGTTACTGAGCTAAAAGATGAGGGAGAGTCTTGAATATTCATGAGGTTTAGCTTAAAATTAAGTGACCCTTATTAGTCCCACAACGGGGAAATTTCACCCCGTGCAGTGAAACACCACATACACAGTAGTGACCACACACCCTGGTGGGCAGTGAGCACACTTGCCCGGAGCGATGGGCAGCCCTATCCACAGCGCCCAGGGAGCAGTTGGGGGTTAGGTGCCTTGCCTAAGGGCGCTTCAGTCATGTACTATCAGCTCAGGGGATCAAACCGGCAGCCTTCCGGTCTCAGGGCTGGTTCCCTAACCTCCAGCCCACGACTGCCCATGGCTGAACATGAGGGTTGGTTCAAGTCTGCATTACTTTTGCAGAAAATAAATGTAGGGGTGGGCGATATGGCAAAAATATCATATTGCCTTACTAATAGATTTTCACGATACACCAGGGATGGAATACAAAAATTAGGAATACATAGAAATTAAGCATCTGTACTAATCATTCTGTAAAGGCACTGTTTAGAATACAGTTAGTTTTAGGATATAAACAACAATGCTTGTTTATTAACCATTTTAAAATCAGTGATTGGTGGGTGAATCTAAAGAAGACGATGACGACAAACTGCTTCCTTACAAACACTGAAGCTCCTGATAAAGCCTGATTGATAAATCAATGTAATGGTCAGTTCAGTTACTTATCCCAGAGTTACTGAGCTCTGCTAAAGCCTGAGTAGACGGATAAATCAATGTAATGATGACCTATGGCAAATTGTTTGCTTAGTTCATGGGATAGCAGTGGGGTTGTGGGAGCAGCAGGCAATGAGAGCCAAAATAATGTTGAGATTTTTTTTAAACTTAATTTAAACAAGTGAATTTTTCATGAAACATGAACAGAACTAACATATTAACACAGTAGGTAGAATAATTTTTCTGACCAACTCTGTGATGCACAATACATAACAGGACATTTTGACCCACACACACTATACACTATTAGTGCCACATTAGAAAACTTTATATACAATGATGTTTATTTAACGTTTCATATACTTTACTGCAATGAATTCAGTAAAGTTAGACTAATTGTGCTCTCTTTGTACTGAAACACAGTTGTTCAGTGTTTAAAGACGGACTATATTCACAGAAAAGCGTATTATCATGACAAAATTTATCACAATAATGATAGAGTAGTGTCATATTGCCCACCTCTAAATATACAGATTGTTATTTTAAAGAAGTGCTTCCTAACCCTGGAGTACCCCAGCTCTAAACATTGTGTTTTCCCTCTTTTAACACATCCACTTCAACTCAAGAAGGGCTTAAAAAAGGCTTAATTCATAGACATCTGATTTTTCATTGCTTTTGTATGTATATGTATTAAAATTACTCTACAAAATAACCCGTTTCAAATTCAATGTTGTTGTGTAACCATAAAAAAACAATGCATCTGCATATAAACACTTAATAAACTGTCTACAGCAGTTTTCAGCCCAGACAACTTTTTGAGTGAGATACAGGGCAGCCAACAAGAACAGAGGTGATTTATGTATTTCAGTCTTAAAAGCAAAAAAAAAAAGTCTGTTTAATGCTTAAGAAATAAAATTTGTCTCAAAATGTTCATCTTAAAATGAAAGTAGTTTTAAAAAAATGTTACAGAAATCTGAAGAAATATGTATCATATGGAGTCTTTAATTAGACGACTAGCTGGATCGAGTGTGTTAGAGCAGGGAAAAAAACACCAACAGACAAACAGAAATATTACCCGTGCAAAATATAAGGAAATATTACCATCAATAAGTTCTTCTTTCAGCTTTGACAGTTCCTTCCTCATTTCTTCCAGAATGTCCTGTAACATAAAAAGCACAAAACTTAAAACTAATACCATGAACTCTTAGATTTTAGTGGTCTCCTTCAAAGCCAGTAAACTGACCGTGAACAGCAACTGAACAGTACAATTAGCATAATACAGTGGTCATGTAGTCATTTGAATTGCTGCATTAATCATTCAAATGAGAATATTTAACTGAGAGAGAGAGAGAGAGAGAGAGAGAATATTAGAGCAAGCAAAAAAGATAGTGTGTCTACAGATAAGCAGGCACTTTACATACGCCGATCAGGCATAACATTATGACCACCTCCTTGTTTCTATGCTCACTGTCCATTTTATCAGCTCCACTTACTATATAGGTGCACTTTGTAGTTCTACAGTTACAGACTGTAGTCCATCTGTTTCTCTGATACTTTGTTAGCCCCCTTTTACCCTGTTCTTCAGTGGTCAGGACCCCCATGGACCCTCACAGAGCAGGTACTATTTGGGTGGTGGTTCATTCTCAGCACTGCAGTAACACTGATGTGGTGGTGGTGGGTTAGTGTGTGTTGTGCTGGTGCGAGTGGATCAGACACAGCAGTGCTGCTGGAGTTTTGAAACACTGTGTCCACTCACTGTCCACTCTATTAGACACTCCTACCTTGTCAGTCCACCTTGTAGATGTAAAGTCAGAGACAATAGCTCATCTGCTGCAGCACAGTTTGTGCTGGCCATCACAGTGGTCACAGGACGCTGTTGGCTGGATATTTTTGGTTGGTGGACTATTCTCAGTCCAGCAGTGACACTGAGGTGTTTAAAAACTCCAGCAGCACTGCTGTGTCTGATCCACTCAGACCAGCGCAACACACACTAACACACCACCACCACCTCAGTGTTACTGCAGTGCTGAGAATGATCCACCACCCAAATAGTACCTGCTCTGTGAGGGTCCATGGGGGTCCTGACCACTGAAGAACAGGGTAAAAGTGGGCTAACAAAGTATCAGAGAAACAGATGGACTACAGTCTGTAACTGTAGAACTACAAAGTGCACCTATATAGTAAGTGGAGCAGATAAAATGGACAATGAGCGCAGAAACAAGGACATAATGTTATGCCTGATCGGTGTATGCCTCCTCAGTCGGCCTCGTTGGGGAAGAAGAGAGGCATTTAGTCTGAATGAGGAGAAGTGTGCATAAAATGACAGTTCCTTTTTAGAGGTGAACCAAAGACCAAATTGAGCACCTTGTCATCCTCCTGAACTCACAACCCCAGAAAAACCTCACAAAGGTTCCATTTAAATGTTAATTACACATACAATTATGCGATTTTACCTGTTTCAATCTGTCATAGTCAAGAGCTTCTGTTGGCACTCCATTGGCACTTAGGGATCCAGTAGGAGTGGGTGTAGACCTCGGTCTGAGGACGAAATGAATAGGATATGACACTCACAGCCAGCTAAGCGCGAGTCACACACACACATCAGAGTGTTTAAGACAGCAGCTAATTGACAGTAACTGCTTCAGTGGTTACACACCACTGAAACCAGAGGGAGGATTTGCACAGCACTGTCAGCTTAAACTGGAAACAAACTGGAAGAAAATGCAGTGAAATCTCAACATAACCACATGATTGAGATTTCAGGCAATTGACATGCAAAGCTAGAAAGACCAGGAAAAGCTTACAGAATATAAATTTGATACTGTATATACTTATTTTAAAAAAATGTAGTTGCTTAATTATCTATAATTATATAGGTGATATAGGAGTTAAAGGGGAATTCCACCGATTTCTCAAAAAATCTACAAAATTAAATGTTGAACAGAGTCATTCAGGGTGGTTTGGTGTGAAACGCTCTGTTCTAGAGAAACTTGCAAAGTCAGAATCGTTCACAGTGGTGGTGATAGGAACCAGACGTCTGAAGAGTTTAATGCCTCTGCACACTTCCTCACAGGAAGTTATTACGTGAAATTGTTAGATATTTGCCATCTGATGTCTGACACACTGTTTTATGATAGTTGTGTGATGAGGTTTTGGCTTAAAATGTAGTTTCATCCATTTTTTCAGGCTGTTCACAGTGGAGGAATACATGCAGGGCGTTGTGAGGCAAAATAGTCCCCCAAAAAAACTTACTCTTAAGATTTTATCACTATTTTACCATCATCAATGTTACATATAAAACTCAGAAGACTCGTGTAGGTTCACAGCTGGTTTTGGATGGTAAATAAAATGGCTATATTTGTGTTGTAGACAGGGTGACCCCTTGTTCCTATCACCACCACTGTAACGAAATCTGGGTCTGTAAGTTTCTCTGTAGTGAACCATTTCTCATTAAATCACTCTGAACGACTCCGTTTACATCCCCAGAAATTTCTGAATTCTGCTTTAAAGTGAGTTATAGGAACACACAACCATGCTTGAGTTGAATGTAAGTATAATCAGGGGTCTGTCTCTTGCTTAGCCAGCTAACTTTAAACTTAGATCGATCTAATCCTGGATTTTCTGTTTCACAACAGTGTCACTTTTTTTTTTAATGGGCTTTAATGAGCAAAACCCTTTATCTCCAAAATGACTTTAAATGGGGCAAAAAGAAACAACGGAAAAATATTTTTTTCCAAAGTAATTTTGGAGCATTTTTTCATTTGTCCATTTATCAAATTCCGGAGAGACAGTAACAATATGCTCTGGAACGAACCAGGGCTGAGCTTCTGGCCAATCAGGGACAGCGACGGATCCCTCTGGTCTCTTTGGGTCTCCTATTCTTTTCTTTCTTTCTTTGTGATGTTTGTGGCATCAATCACATGAAAAATGTATCTCACATAACAATATAAACCACTTAGCACTTCAGTAAGCACTACCACTGAGGCAGTGCTGACAGGGTTGCCTTTATTATTGCCTTTGCTATTAATGCTGTCTTTTCTACATATTTACATTTTCCTTCTCTGAAAAATAAACTGCTCAACTCCTCACAGTTCCTGCAATTGGCTGTTCATTGTAAACGTCATGCTTGTATGTACATGTGCATGAGCTTGCATTTGATTTTGTGAAGAAGGAGCAGAGTCAGGACCCTGACTAAGTTGAATGTGCTTCAGAAGACAGACTCCAGATCACTATTATTACTACATTTATTTTTATTATTATACTTGTCAGACTAAAGTACCCCTAAAATAAGCCATGTGTCATTCTGTTGTTTTACAGTATTATTAGGTTAATAAAAAGTATTTTAAGTTCTAAACTGTAAGGATAAACTTTAAAGTATATAGATTTATGTTTCTAGTGAGATTAGAATAATTAAAGCTGAAATGCTTTTGCTGACTAAAGCTCTATTCTAGCTGGATTAGTCTTCCCAGAGGAGGTCATGTAATGTAATTTGTGTGTGATCTGACTGGCCGATTCGTACAGGATAAAGGATCTGTGTAATTTCCCCAAAGTACCCCAAATAGCCTGGATCAAAACATCTCACAGATGTTTACCTAAGCATTATGTGACAAGCGTCACATTTCCGAACAATAACAACAACACTGTGCAGCTAAATGGCAAATATGGTGGGGAAAAAATAAACAAAACACGATAAAGCACGAAAAAGGAGACTTCACATCAAAATGTTGTGGATTTCAGTACTTTATCTTGTCCTTGAGGATTAAGGGATTGGGTAAAATAAAGATTGTAACTGTTAGCCTGGCCTTCAGGTCGCAAAAAAAGAAAAAAAAATAGGAGGCGCCATTTTCTCCTATCCAGTGTTATTACATTACTGTGATGTCAGTTTGAACAGGACTGCTATCACTGAGGGAGCTCATTGGTAATCACTCTAATTACATCACCTCCCCAATTAAAACTAATCCCAGCTCCAACAGGGCTTTACTGTTAATTTTGCTAAATATTGTTAAATCATCACATGATTTTTCATCTAAGCTCATTTGAAAACACCTCTACACATACAGTCCATAGGGTCATATCATGGTTATATACAGCAAATCCAAATTTAATGCAGTCTACATAATGACTACTTCATTTAGGCATCACAACCCAGGAGCAGAAAAAGTCAACATCACCACAAAATAGAACATTTTAATTAAAAAGGGGGGAAAAAAAACACTCCAAACTGCAGCACTGCTGGGAGAGCAGCGGAGGCATGCACACACACCCTCACACACACTTACACAGCAGCCTTTTCACTCTCATGCTTCCCTGCCACACACAGCCAACAAGGTAATCACCAGAGCGTGGAAGTGATTAGGGAAACGGTGCAGTATCTGATCATCTAATAAGAGAAATGTGAGTTTATCTGGCGTTTACAACATGTTTGCACATAATGGGGACATTGGAGGTCAAAAACTAACAACAAACTTCAGTAATGACCTTTTCGTGATATTATATGACTTATATTGTTTCAGTTTAAAACGTTACTCAAGAAGCCATGCATAAGATAATGACCCGAGCTCATTCTGTGAACTCAAAAAGGGGTCATGTGGTTGGAGGCAGGAGGAGTAGCTCTCTCGTGAGGCTGACTTTAAGCCTTCTTTAATGAGGAGAAATTAAAACACGCCCATACGAGCGCGCCTGTGAGGAGCGGGCACAGAATATGGTCTTATCTTTGAGGCCGGCTGGGAAAGTTGGCATAGAAGGGCTGAAGACAGACGCGCCGTGCAGCCTGACGCTACACACGCAGTGCGTTTTATCAGGAAACACCTGCACTAGTGTCACTGCCATGTGACGACAAAGAGGAATTCCTACCCAGTCGTTTTTGTATATATATTTAAAGGGGATCCAGACGCTGAGCTCAACAAAAAGGAAAATGAAGCGAAGTATTTACAAAGCTCTATCACAACCACTGTCTAGAAATGAGCTAAATATGCAACAGCTACCCTACTGTGCAAAAGTCAGAGACCACCCTTCATTTATTTCCAGTCAAAACGGTTGTTAAATATAAGTCGTTCGTTCTGCAGCATCAGGAAAAATTACCAGAAATTAACAGAAAATTACACAGAAGCCTCAACAACTAAATACAAATCACATTTGTAAGTATTTAATGTGTCTATCCTATCCGCAGACTAAGGCCCAGTCCCATTTCTTATTTTTACCCCTACCCCTTGTTTTCGAGTGTCACCTTAACCCCTTGGAACTGAGTTACAAGGAGTAGTGGTTGAAATCGTCCCTCTGAAATGGGACCCTCAAATAAAAAGAGCATCACTTCATTAACAGCTACCAGCGCTGCTCTGTAGGCGACCCTGCCAGTCTGCAGTGACAGCAGAGGAGGGTAAAGTTCAGCTCCTCACTGCTGGGCTTTAGTTACATTTAGGGCATCATATGCCTTCAAAGAGGGGGGCAATTATTTATTATCACCCACCCCTAATTCTTCAGTGATATGAAGCTGAAGTCAGATATTCACCAGGTTCTTTCAGTTACATTCTGGCAATTCAGGCATCAAAACTGCTGGACTATTTAAGGTGGAACGGGAAAGTTAGCTAGCTAGCATGCTATTAGCGATTTTTTATGCTTGTTATGAAGGAAACGACCGTAATACATTGAAACGACATTAAACTAAGATAATACAGTGGTTATCGTAATTTTTTAATGGAGTAAATTCTCACATTTGTGGGTTTCTTTGGTCTCTTTTTCTCCATCTTGCCGGTATTTCTTTTTTCTCATATCACTCTGTTTGGAGTCTCTGAAACACCTCTGTTTGGAGGGTCATGTAGCCCTAACACTTACCCTACCCCTCTATCTCAACAAAAATGGGGACACCCTACCCCTAGACGTGAACGCTCCAAACAGAGGGCTAAGGGCTGAGTGGTAGGGGCGAGGGGTGAAATGGGATTGGGCCTCACTTTCAGTTTTTCAAAGAAATCTGCAGGGATATTTTTCTACATCTTCAAAGTTCACCAGCAGCTTCTTCGTTTGATTTTCAAATTTTCTATTTTCTTTTCTCAGTGAGGTTCTTCTTGACAGCTACACAAGATGAAAGCTTTAAGTACTGTTTATTGGACGGTGATGTTTTGGTGGTCTGCCAGGTCTTTCACACCTGTTCTCTCTAATTTGAGCTCCACATTTTGAAACTCCCTTTTTTCCCCCCCACTTATTTCCCTACAACTTTCCTTCCTCCTATGCAAGTGGTTTATCTTAAATCTGAACTCCTCAAAAAATAACCTCGAAAATTAACTTAACCCTTGTGTGGTGTTCAGGTCTGTGGGACCCATTTTCAATGTTCACCAAAAGAAAAAAATGATTTGATTTATTATTATTTCAACCTCAGATTCTTGGCCTTTGCTCATTTTCTGTGAAGAACATATAAAATAACCCATTTTCAGTGTCTTCACTCTGTTCACCCCCCACACATTTATATTACACATGTAGTGTTGGGCTGAACCTGCGGGGAGTAAAAGTGTGGAGGTGCTGTGTCCTTCACTCTGTTCTCCTCCTACATGGCCTGCTGTTAGTGTGTGTGTGTGTCTGTGTGTGTGAGGGTGGACAACATGGACAGGCTGCTGACTGCCTACAGCTGCTAAAGGAGAACCCTACACTGGACGCTTGTGATATTTTAAACATCTGGTATTTTTACATAAATTGTTATGGCTGCACTGATTTAAAAAACAATGTGGTGGGTCCACCAGACCACTGAGTAACAAACACATCAACACCACTCAAGGGTTAATGGCCTTTCTGACTGGAAATGAAATACATGAATGGTGGTCTTTGTACACTTATGCGAATATTTTGAAGACAACTGACCGAAGCACTATTCGTTATCAGAGGGAAGTATAAGACAGCAATCCAGCTGTGATATTGGTGTGGTGTGGTATTGTATGGTGATTAACTTGTTGGCAAAATGGACAGCTTTGTATGTAAATTGAAATGGTTGTAGAAAACCACTCATAGCACCAACCCTCAACCTACAAAGAACGTTTGCAGCACAGCAAAGGCTAAAAAAATAAAAAAATAAAGAGCTCCCAAACTCGACAGGCTCTTATACCTGTTTAAGGAATCATAGTACTTGTCAGTACCCATCTGATTTCTCCACGGCGCGTCCCGTCTGTGAGAGTAAAGAGACTAGCTGGTCAGAATACACCACAGACAGTGCGACAAAACTACTGGAGTGACAATACACCACAGGCAGAGCTCCAAACTGCTGGCTCATCAGCATAAGCGCCACTGGTTTAGTGGACCTGAGGAACCGTTCTGTATTTTTTAACATTTGGTGCATCATCTAGTGGCAGCAACTGACTCTTATATACATCGATAAACTGTTAAAACTGTACGTAACAAGCTTTAAACAACTTACAATGGCATAATTAACTTCAGCATATAAGATACTAAGAAAAAGAAGTACATTCAAAATACAGTCTTCAGAAAAAAAGCAAATCAACAAAGAAAAATGGCAATTTTCATATTTTTTCATATTATTTTATTATTACTTTTCTGAATTATTTTACAAATGTTGCCTTTGCACATTTTCGTCACCGCTCTACACATTTCTTGTCAGATTCTAGATGCTGACACTTCTCTGATGAGAGGTTTTGCTGCGCTCCCTCGCTGAAAAACAATAATTTTGGAAATCGAATTACAGTACTTTCCATTTAACGTTCCAAGACTCAACCGCCGCATCTGAGCGGAATGATAATATGTATGGGGACAGACAGAAAGGCCTGCAATAAGCAACAGCACTTTGCTTTAGTACTGTTAAAGTTTCCTGATGAAGCAAGCCCACCCCACCCCACCCCACCCCACATTCTGCCATGCGGTCTTGTGAGCCCCTCGCGTAAAGCACATGAGACAAAGCAGTAGATGCAATCAGTGGTTCACACGAGGAACAAGAACGTAAGACCTGGTCTCTGCGCCTACATTCCAATGAGCGTGAAAATGTACATGGAAATCCTATCAAGAAGACAACCTGACTGAAATGGGACATAAGATAGACAGTAGATTGTGTCTTGCATAGCATTACCTTCCAATAACTGGTGATTTGCTACCATTCATGGTGTTTGTCCTCTCCCAAGGCTTTCTGGGCATATCTACAGCAGGAAACAATGTAAATTAGTCCAGACAAAGACGGATCATGTGAAATTTAATGTTTTTTAAACAGTATACGATTATGTGTTTAAAGCACAACGTTCAACAATAAACAAAATACATTAAAAGCACTGACCAATAAATTCTCGCAAAATTCTTACCTGGTGTGCTACAGGCCGACACCTTTGGGGTCGTAGTTGCTTCAATTTCATCCTGTTGGAGAAAACAGATGGGTTCATATGTCAAAGGCAAATAAGGCTTTGTTCACGCAGCAGGTAAAAGTGGCCCAAATCTGATCTTCTTTCTTCATATGTGACACAGATGTGTGTCTGTGTGTCAGAGTGAACAGATAAACACACTGAATCTGACATTTTCAATTCCGATTTGAGACGATTTTATAAGTGGTCCTGAAATCCGACCCGTATCCGATCTGCGGCAATGAGACTCAGTCTGAACAGCCAGATCGGAATTCGTGCGACTTTTACGTCAATCCAACTCGACATCCGCCATCATTTCGTGCTGCTGGGACCTCAAACATTTAGGCTGATGTTTCTGTATTAAAAAATTTGAGGAGACTCATCACAACCGCTCTGTGTTTGAAGAGATTTCTAAAGAAATGTCCGAACGCGGCCGCAGGAGAACGAGGCTGCAGCGTCAAAGAACAGTTAAAAGTCTGAAAGCAAAGTTTAAAGAATCCGAGGACACAAACCAAAGAAGTGACCGCGCCCTTTTTACGGCGAGCTGAACACATTCTGGGTGATGAGCCCAGCTGTCAGTCAGTGAAGCTTCATGATGGCTCCTGTGATGCTGGTGAAGATGAAGCTGATCCTCCGGGAGCGACTGGCGTTCGTTGGCGGTCGTGATTGTTTACCTCTGGATGAGCCGCGTGACGCCCTGTTCTTTTGCGCATGAGGGTCAGTTTAGGAGCTGATCTGTTCAGACTGATGACTCATAGAGGTCACAATGTGAACAGCCAAACAGAAAAAAAATCAGACATGGTGAGAAAATCAGATTTGGGCCACTTTTACCTGCTGTGTGAACGTAGCCCAAGAGATTGCAGTGGCAGCCAGAGAACTGACGAAAGATTTGTGACTCGTTTAACATCAGATACGATATCTGCACAGCGTTGTATGTCTTGTCTGTGTATCATGTTTTGTTGACTCACAGTTTTCTGATCAGGCTCTGGTGATGATCCCTTTTCTGCAATTCTTCTTCTGCATCGGGAAGAAAAATTACAATTCATATACTGTATTTTACAGATGTCAAAATGATTACATGCCACTTTAGTGTTTTTTGGGATGCATTTAAAACATCACATCACTCATTATCACTACTTTTTCCCTATTAAATCAATAACATGACTCGTAGCAAAATGCATGTAAACTACTTTTAAGTGCCTGGATAGCGTGAAGAAATGGAGTGTGTGGGCACCTCCTGGCCAGCAGGGCGCTCATCTCCTCCATGAGTCCTCCTCCTCCAGGCAGAGGGCCGTTCCCTCGGGCTGTCTCAGGCTTAGCAGCTCCAGGGCCCACTACACCTCCTGCAGCTGTGCTAGAGGGCTCATCATTCTGTGGTAAGAGATGAATGGAGTGAGTCTAGGGAACCGACTGACACAGTGGATCTGCTTCTTGATGATCTTATCCGAGGCTTTCAGACCGGTTAAGACCATAGTGGATCAAAGTTCTCCAGTGGAAATCAGGAGGTGCATGTTTAAGGAGATTGCAGTGAGTGTTTGGCGTTAGATGATTTAGCTACAACACGTATAAAAGGTTTGAGACAGAACCTACATTAAAAGTACTCTTTTAATGTACAATATGTATATTAGGCCTCTAGGCTTATCACTATTATTATATAATCACCTTATTACAATTATTTGAGCTGATCAGAATTATTTTCCGTATTTATAAGGTTTTACAGTCATGAACCCGGGTTTGTGTTCATCAGCTGGGTTCTGACAACTATATGTAAATAAAAGAAAGCAGAAAACACATTCACTGGGACACAGGAGCCCTACAGAACTAAAAGGTTCTACATTTTGTCTGGTTTTATAAAACCTTATAATAACAGAAGATGATATATTTGTATATTTGATGTTTGTTATTAACGCCTTTAGAGGGCAGCAGTGAGTAATGCTTGTTTATTTGATGTTTGTTAATAACACCTTTAGAGGGCAGCGGTGAGTAATGTTTGTTTATTTGATGTTTGTTAATAATACCTTTAGAGGGCAGCAGAGTAATGTTTGTTTCTTTGATGTTTGTTAATAACACCTTTAGAGGGCAGCGGTGAGTAATGTTTGTTTATTTGATGTTTGTTAATAACACCTTTAGAGGGCAGCGGTGAGTAATGTTTGTTTATTTGATGTTTGTTAACACCTTTAGAGGGCAGTAGTGAGTAATGTTTGTTTATTTGATGTTTGTTAATAACACCTTTAGAGGGCAGTGGTGAGTAATGTTTGTTTATTTGATGTTTGTTAACACCTTTAGAGGGCAGTAGTGAGTAATGTTTGTTTATTTGATGTTTGTTAATAACACCTTTAGAGGGCAGTGGTGAGTAATGTTTGTTTATTTGATGTTTGTTAACACCTTTAGAGGGCAGTAGTGAGTAATGTTTGTTTATTTGATGTTTGTTAATAACACCTTTAGAGGGCAGCGGTGAGTAATGTTTGTTTATTTGATGTTTGTTAATAACACCTTTAGAGGGCGGTGGTGAGTAATGTTTGTTTATTTGATGTTTGTTAATAACACCTTTAGAGGGCAGCAGTGAGTAATGTTTGTTTATTTGATGTTTGTTAATAACACCTTTAGAGGGCAGCGGTGAGTAATGTTTGTTTATTTGATGTTTGTTAATAACACCTTTAGAGGGCAGCAGTGAGTAATGTTTGTTTATTTGATGTTTGTTAATAACACCTTTAGAGGGCAGCAGTGAGTAATGTTTGTTTATTTGATGTTTGTTAACACCTTTAGAGGGCAGCAGTGAGTAATGTTTGTTTATTTGATGTTTGTTAATAACACCTTTAGAGGGCAGCGGTGAGTAATGTTTGTTTCTTTGATGTTTGTTAATAACACCTTTAGAGGGCAGCGGTGAGTAATGTTTGTTTCTTTGATGTTTGTTAATAACACCTTTAGAGGGCAGCGGTGAGTAATGTTTGTTTATTTGATGTTTGTTAACACCTTTAGAGGGCAGCGGTGAGTAATGTTTGTTTATTTGATGTTTGTTAACACCTTTAGAGGGCAGCGGTGAGTAATGTTTGTTTATTTGATGTTTGTTAACACCTTTAGAGGGCAGCAGTGAGTAATGTTTGTTTATTTGATGTTTGTTAACACCTTTAGAGGGAAGCGGTGAGTAATGTTTGTTTATTTGATGTTTGTTAACACCTTTAGAGGGCAGCGGTGAGTAATGTTTATTTATATGATGTTTGTTAATAACACCTTTGCCACTTTAGGCTCGTCCTTATTTGTATACAAAAAAAAACTTTTGTTCAAATAAATTGTCAATCACAATTCTTTATATGCCCATTTTCAGCTAAAATTTCAAGAATGTGACATTTCTGGCATTTGTACTTAACATAGTATCCAGTGACTCATGCACTCCCTTAACTGAAACACAGCGCAGCCTCAATGAAGTCATTCAAAGACACTTGACAAGATTCTCACCCTTGGCACTTTCCGTAGCTTGGCTCCGGCGAGGGCGGCCGCCAGGCCGGCAAGGGGCTTGTTCTCGTCAGTGGTGGGCGAGGGAGTGAACAGGCCAGAGGGCAGAGGTGGGGCCGGGGGTGGAGGGGGTGCAGGAGGTGGGGCCTGGCCAGAGGGGGGTGGCGGTGGCCCGGGAGGAGGTGGCGGCCCTGTGGGGGTGAGCGTAGGAGGGAGAGGTGGAGGAGGAGGGGGAGGGGGACCGGGAGGAGGCGGGGGTCCGGCGGAAGTGGGGGTCACAGTGGAGCCGGGTGGAAGGGGTGGTGGGGGAGGTGGGGTGGGCAGACCCTGCACTGAATCTGTGGGGGGAGAAGAGAAGCAGCAGTCAGAACGCATCTCAGTGAAGGCTGAGTCACTCATTTACACAGCGCCTTCCCTTCCACGACGGCAGCTCCTCTAAAGCAACGCCACTATTAATAAAGTCCAACAGTGCACTTCATATCACATTTAAACTGCTGCATTGCTTAAACATGAGCAGGTTAGCATTAACAGGTCAAAGTAAAAATAACCAATACATCATTTTAACACGAAATAAAAAAGGAAAAAGCAATAAACGTCAGGGTCAATATCATTTCAGCTTGAATCGCATTGTCCAAAGACGAAAAACAAACAAAGCCCACAGTGACCAACAGTGAAAGCTCACTCAGAATGCTCAACATAGAAAGATGACAACATATATGAAGATGGAAGGTGACCACACTGATTGTTTTTCAAAACTGGACAGATGTGGAGCCTGAAAAGCAAACTATTGTAAACTTATTCTCTCAGCAACTTTCACATCTGAACCTATGAATGTGGTCAACTAGTTTCTTCTTGTGCACTTTCCTCTACTTCAAATCTGACCACTCAGAAATAGTTGAACCTTCAGAACTGCCCTGCAAAAATATGGACAAAAATGAATCTGTTGAATAGTTGTTGAATATTACGATGATAATGTCAGATGTGCTAAACTACAGTGATAAGTGTATAATTTAACATCTTTGGCTTGTTTTTTTCTCTTAAAACCTCACCTTGCAACGCATGTTTTTACAGGCCAGCTAGTTGGCTAGTTTTTGGCTGTTCATGTGTACTTTGTTTGTAGGTCTTGGCATCTCTATGGTTCTAATTAAAGGCCTATATGTAATCTCAGTGTATTATTATTTTTACTGATCATAATTATTTCCACTCTTCCTACTTCAGGAACCTCAGCTGTTCTAGTATGGCAGCTCTTTACTGTGTGCTTATCATAAAATATATCAGAATAATGATAAAAATACTATACATGCAGCCCTAACTTAGATACATTTGCTACAATAGACCCAAATCAAGCTTTGACATTGCCTATATGTATAATTCGCATTGCTCACAATGCATTTACAATAGCTTGGTATAAGGCAATCAATACATTATCTATTGCAAGCAATAGATGCCTTGTTTTATATCAGGACAAAGCTGTCAGTATGAACCGTTTCCACATATGACTATCAGTGATAAACGTGTCAAAATGCACCTCAGACAGAAAATATGATGAAAGTCTACAACAGGAGAGAAATGACTAGCAGAAATATAAGCGTGACGACATCCAGTGCTGCCCATTTTTCCATGTACCCCAGGTTACTGTGCCAAATCAGTGACCCTTGAATGTACATGACCGCATCTACACTGTGCAGATGGAGCGGTTCATCAACATACTGTATACTGAAGAATGAGATGTTTGACCATAAAAAAATTATAAAAGAAAAAGAAAATGATGGCACAAGTGTGACATCAGAGACTAATCAAAGTCCACTGTGGAGAGTGAGAGGATGGATTCATGAGAGCGAACATTCATGCCATGCCAAACCAAACCATACAAACGGGCACCAATCAGCTCAATGCACAATCACAGACGAACAGGACGGCAAAACTGGACATGCGCAAGGCATTGTGCTCCCCTGAAGCTTAAAAGAGCCGTTCTCGTCCAGCGAAAGCGAGAAAAGAACAGCCGCAGCGGCCTGGTTCAGCACAGCCAGCCCCGCCCCTCCCTAGACCCTCCCCTTTCCCATTTAGTGGGTTAGTGGAGGCGGAGAGACAGAGAGAAGAGGCCTTACCCGGCTGGCTGGGGGGGTCAGCAGCAGGCTGAGAGGCTGGCACTGGAGCAGAGGGGTCTCCCAGAACATAGTTTATAGAGTACTCGGCGGAGGCGGGGGAGGCTGTGGAAGGAGAAGGGAAAACAGGAGGCTGGGGTGAGGGACAGGACACGAGGGAGGCGATGGTGGGCGACTGTGACAAGGAAAAGGGGGGCAAGGGTGGGGGAGGAGGTGGAGTTGGGGGTGAGGGCAGGGGCTGGCCTGAGACCGGGGAGGAGGAGCAAGAAGTGTGGTAGTGGGTGGAGCCTGTCGGCCCAGTGGGCGAAGGCGGTTTTTGGCAAAGTGGGCTGGGGGCTGGGATGGCGATGACTGGACGTGGGCCAGTGGCCTTGCCAGGGGGGCTGCTGATCATGACCGGAGGAGATGGTGGCAAGGGGGTGAAGTTGGTGGCTGGGCAGATGGTTGGTTTGGATGGAGGGGCTGGAGGAGGAGGAGGAGGAGCCGGGGCAGGGGCCGGGGCCGGCTGGCGGCGGGGGACAGTGGCGTAATGGGGCAGCACCGGGTGGAAGGCGGAGCCTAGCGAGGTGGCGAATCGGGAGGCGGAGTGGCGGAGGGGAGGGGTAGGGGGTGTGGCTATGGAGGGTGATGCGGAGGGTGGAGGGTAGTTGGGTGTGGAAGGGGAAACGGGTGAGGAGGAGGAGGAGGCGGTGGTGGTCTTGGCGTAGTCTGGAGGCGGAGGGGTGTGGAGGGTGCTTTCGAATGCTGAACACGCCGGATGAGTGGACAGGAGGGAAGAAGCAGCGACCGTGCAGAGGGAAAGAAACACGAAAGACAGAGAGATAAAGGGGAGGAAAAAGGAGGAAGACAGAAAGGAGCAAATGAAGCAGGAAAACAGCAACAGACCTACATCTCCCTAATGCTGCTGTTTCACTTGTGTCTACCACATGGAACACGCTACAATTAGTACAATCAATCTGGTTAGCTGTAGATAAAAATCATGAATGTATTTGTGAACAATGGATCAATCCCAGCACGCATGGTCGACCCAGTTACTGACGTGGTTTCTCATTCAGTACTTTCAGGAGCCAGTGCCGAAATGGAACGGTGGCGTAACTCCTGAAGGCACAACTCAGTCTAGATTAGTGTCTGTGGGGCTAACAGAATCACACTGGTTACATGTCAGTTCACCACTCACTCCATGCCACCAACACTCAATTAACACCACAAAGAAACAGTAGACTGTGAACTTTGAGGTCTGCAAATATAAGAATGCATAGGAAATCTAAAGCTATGACGAGTCTAAAGCATTGTGTTGTTATGATGCACCACTGTTTCAAAAATTCAGTGCTTACAGGCCCAAAACTGGAGTTTAAGATGTTATTTAGTGTGTTATGCAGTATTTTATAGCGCAGTATTATCTCTCATTCATTGTCTCTCCACTGTAATAATGATTTGCTGACAGCAGCTACTTATAGAACTGCACTGAGACCTTAGGCTTCCTAGCAGTAACATTAGCTATCTGCCTTCTTTCTGCACTCACCAGCTTAAAAAACCTGCCAGCCCTCAAAAATCAACCCCAAAGCAGTTGTAGTTTTTCAGAAGATCCTCCCGCCTTCATGACATCATCAGAAGACAGCATGTGTACAACAGATGACAGACGTTACTATGGTCGCATCTTTCATTTTGGCCAGTGTCCCTTTAAGTAACATCAACACTTACATAAATACAGATACACTACATAAACAACAGATGCTGGGAACAGAATCAAAATGTCAGTAAACCAAAAAAAATTCATTAACTACAAAACATGCGCTACCAGCGAAGAACCCGTTTCATTTACAGTCACAGTCAAACCAAATCAATAAAACTCGCGGTTACAATACACAAATGTTCAAAGCAATACCTGCTTTTAAGAGCTCAAGCTCACCATCCTGCACGGGATTTTATTTTAGACAAGCACTCGTATGCTGATATACCAACATCATGGATGTGCATGTGAAGCACTGCTCACACAGCCATACGCTGACCGAGGACCTGCATCTTTCTGCTCCAGTGATGCTCACATACTGCCTCTAGACACAGCAGCCCTCCTGCTGCTATGCCTTCCTAATGCCTCCTGACACAACCAGGCATCTACACGCATTTGTGCACAAACACATTTAAGGAACACTCCTGCCCCACATTCCGAACATCCTCGTTCTCACGTTAAGCCTAAACTCTTCAGCATAGCACTTCATTATCATTGGATCTCCATGTTCAAAGCATTCTGCACCTGGGAGACCCTGTGGATGACTGAACTAACAACTCGCTGAATGACAGTAAATAATACAGGCTGATTCACTTTTCTTGTTAAAACTATAGCTGATTTCCAGTGTGACTACACCAGAGAACTTGAGAGAATTCCCGCTCTGTAATGTCTTCTGGGTTTCTCAAACACTAGAGGGCGCTCCCGAGCGAGTCCAAAATGAATGGGTTGATATGGAGCATTTGAGCAAAATTACAGGTTGTAAACGCTGAAACATGTTTAAAGTAAAGAATACGTTCATTTCCTGAACACAGAATGACATAAAACATTTTAACACTGCTGTTATATTTTTAAGAGCTTTTAAACTCGAGCTATAGGAGGTTGAAATGGCGCCTCATGTACGTTCATGATGTCTGTGAGCGCGAACAGCCAATGAGCTGCTCAGCTCGCCAACCAATCAGCACTCAGTAGCAGCAATGCCAGCGTCCTGCTGCCCAAAACCCGTTTGCTGCAGAAAAAAATGAAACATACAGGTCAGTTTTCTTTGTTTTTTTAGGGAAATGCATCCTTCTACTTTCTAAAATTAAAGGAAAGTTCTGGTTCAGTGATTAGAAACCATTTTAACTTCATTTTTAGCCGTTGAGCTCCATTTACTCCCATTCATTGAGGACTCACTCGCAGACGCCCTCTGCTGTTTTGCAGTCCTGTTGTTGACTTAATGGGGGAAATAAGAAGAGGCCAGACTCCTCATTAACCGGCTCTGACTACACTATAATGATGGATAACACCGCATTTTTAATATGTAAAAAAAAATGTGGCCATGACTTTTGAACTCTGTCTGAGTGTACTGCAGTCTGAAGTTTCTCCAGCAAGGGGAGCTATAGCGATTAGCACGCAGGTCAGCATGAACCTACACCAAAAGGAGCATGAACGCATGTTTGCAGCAACAACTCTTACAACAGCAAGTGAAGTAGATTTCGAAATATGTTAGAATATTCTGTATTATATTATTTATTTCATAATATGTGACTTTTATTAAAGGTTCTTTTTAATACAATCAATGTTTGTTGATCATTGTGATTTTTTTTGTTTTTTTAAATTAGAAAATATTCTGTTAATTATTTTAAGATATTGTCCAGGCCTATTCTAAATAGGCATATCTTTGTTTCTACCTCTTATTCTGCCTTTTCACCCATCTCGTTCACACTGTCTCTCTTTTCCTCCCTCCCTCACTCTGGTAGCAACAATAAGATCACAATCCAAGCAGGAGATGGTAGCGCGCGAAGTGTTTACTGGAGCGCTGCAATTTCTGAAATCCTTTCAGTCACAGTAAATCTCTAGGCCCAAAACCAACACAGACCCGTTTTTCTATCTTATTTTTGAAGTATTTCAAGGCTCCCACACATGATCAACTATATAATATGTGTGTTAAAAGACAATTCTGGCGTATCTTCCTCCCAAAAGTGCTGACAATAATACAGTTACACCAAAGCATACTCACTTAACAATGCATATAAACTGATTCAGATGTCAGGTAAATTCAAAATGACCTGATGCTCCAGAAATTCTTATGATCACTGAGAATTCGCACAAATGTGATTCAAAATAAACAAACAAACAAAAAAAAAAACACATTCCCTAGGATCAATCCTTATGCGAGCACCATCCTACGAAAGGATACTGTTTGGACAAATTAGACCAAAGTGTGGGGCCCAATTCCCATTTCACCCCTCGCCCCTACCACTTAGTCCTTAGGCCTCTGTTTTGCGCGTTCACGTCTAGGGGTAGGGTGTCCTGATTTTTGTTGAGATAGAGGGGTAGGGTGAAGCGTTGGGGCTACATGATCCTCCAAACGGAGGTTTTTCAGAGACACTCACAGAGTGATATGAGACAAGACAAAAAAACGCCGAAGAAACCCACAAATGTGGGAATTTTCTCTGTTATTACAATAACCACTGAATTATTTTAGTTTAATATCGTTTTAAAGTATTATGGTCGTTTTCTTCATAACAAGCATAAAAATTCGCTAATAGTATGCTAATGTCTCGGTAGCTAGTTAGCTAAACTTCCCATTCCACCTTAAATAGTCCAGCAGTTCTGACGCCTGAAGCGCCAGAATGTAACTGCTGCACCATTTAAGGCGGAACAGGAAAATTCAAACAAGAAGCTGGCGAATATCTGACTTCAGCTTCATATCACTGAAGTATTAGTGGTGGGTGATAAATAATTTCCCCCCCCACCTTTGAAGTCATATGATGCCCTAAATGTAACTAAAGCCCAGCAGTGAGGCGCTGAACTTTACCCTCCTCTGCTGTCACTGCAGACTGGCAGGGTCGCCTACAGAGCAGCGCTGGTAGCTGTTAATGAAGTGATGCTCTTTTTATTTGAGGGTCCCATTTCAGAGGCACGATTTCAACCACTACCCCTGTAACTCAGCTCCAAGGGGCAAGGTGACACTCAAAAGCAAGGGGTAGGGGTAAAAATAACAAATGGGACTGGGCCTTGGTCTTGAACCACCAGGGGTTACTGATCTCCTCTGGTGGTACAGATAAAAGCCCTGGTACCTGGAGGAAGGGGAAGAGTAGGACTGAAGGCCTGTCCCGACAAGCACCCTGAGTACTGCAGTTCACACTATGGTGCAGACCTACAGGGCAGGAAACCTTGAGGGAGTAGCTTCAGTTGGCCTCATATGCACCAGTTGGGACAGCGCTTAAGTGGGAGGAGCTCTTGTATGGTGTATGAGGCTGGAGCACAGCTTACTACAAACGGATGAGTTGGAGTTTGGAGCCTGTTTCACAAAAAAGGAACTTAAACAATTAACAATTAAGGTGGTGCTTGCCATAGATTACATTAAAGACACTAGGAATATTTTAGAGGTGAGCAGGTTGTCTCCTGGGTGGTTCCCCACAGGAAGAGACACTATCATAGAATGATGAGGTCACTCTCTTGTTCTTTGCTGACACCCAGGGAAGATTCTTAGTTAGGTCTACTGAGCCATATAATCAGACAACCTAGACCAGAGGCCATAGATGTGACTAAGGCTCGCTGTGCTGTAGCAAGTGGAGGGCTTTTTTAGGATGTTGATGATTATGTGGACTAATGACAGGGGGTTTCATAGGGGGGTAACATGTATTTACATCATTTTATCAAACTTTATGTTCATATTTACTATGTTTGGTGAAACAAAACATGGCAGAATTGAATCCCAAATTGTTCTTTGATGAGCTGTAAATGGTGAAGCTCATTAAACCTCAGCTCTTCCAAGCCACAGAGTTTGAGACTCATGACCATGCTCTGACCAGAGGCTCACTGGTTAGTTTAAAGGGCTGTGTCTACTATATAGATCTTGTCCCAACAACAGGAATTGATTTTAGACAGATGGATGTGAGCACGTAATCCCAACACCCTTCTAGAGTTGTGGGAGCTTAATTTATTAAAAAATTAAAACAAGTGACCCCTTATAGGAAGTATAGGAAAAACATAAAAATCCTTCTCAGGAAAAAATGATTTACCATGACTGTAGAAATCTAGGAGATATTAAATCACTTTGCCTAATTCAGACATGTCAAACACCACATGAAAACAACTAAGGTTATTAAGCATTAATAGTCTTAATTTCCCTGATATATAAGTCACACAGGCTCAGCAGAGACGCTCCTCAGAATTACTGGAAAAAGGCCAAAGGGAGGCACTCGGCTCTTTAACAGGATGGGAGCGTCTAGGTGCTTTAGAATCTGCCTTGAAAACACTTGCACTTGTTTGAGCTCCAGAAGGAGGCTCTGGTCAGCTTGTGAAGTGCCTAGAGAGAGCAGCACGAGCAAATATGAAGAATCTTTTTTCTTCACATGAATTATCATGAAACGCCAGGCTAAAGCAGGTAAGCCTCCTGTGTGGATGCTTATGTGATCAGACAGACTGTGTTCGCTTTAGACGTCCCTGTCTTACTGATCCCAAACTCTTTTTTCAATCATGATGTGAGCACAGAAAGACCAGGTTTAAAAGCCTGACTATAACCGTGTGTCGCTGTACCAGTCACTTCTGTGCAGCTAAATGAGGTACAGTAAAACGTGAATAATAATGTGACAAAGGTGAAACTGTGTCCTTTTAAGAAATTCCGAAGACTTAGAAACTCTCAGACATTTGATGGAAGAGCAGCTGAGGGACATTAGGACACTAAGCTTTATTAGATCTTGTTCCTAAGACACTCAGAGCTTTAATGAGTGTTGGGAATCTGTGGGGTTTTTATCACAGATTTGTGCCAAACTTTGCAGCCATGGATGAACACGTGACCAACTGGTGGAAAAAAAGTAAAAGTTTCAGTGGAGTGAAGGACGTTTAGCGAACCTCTGCTGCGACGAACCTTGAAACTGGCCACTGATGCATATGATGCAGGAATAGATGAAGAGCTTTAACGACCAGATAAGGCTGTAGCCTATTTCTCCCACATTTCTCCTAAAAGAACACCGGGATACGCATCACCACTGAGAGCAGGCCTTGGGTTTGGACTGTCAGCTCAACATTTTCTACAAGACTACATATCTAGATCAAGAGAAGAGCTAACAACGACTATATGAACTACAACAGTCTTGTATTTCTGTTGAGAGGATGTTGGTAAAAACAGTGTTCGTGAAACACCAGCAGACAGAGATCATTTCTTGGTGGTGCTGATAAAAAGTATTGACACCCTGAAGGGTGAAGCAGGAGAAACTAGTAAGACCGGCACTAGAGGTAAAGAAACTCTGGTGCAAAGTAGCCCAGCCTCTTGGTTTTGTTCCAGACTGAAACAGGACCAACTCTTTTCTCTAACCTCTCATGTTCTCCAATAAAGAACAACTGAACAACCGACAGAGACAGACACTCAGCAGATCCTGGGTTGGATGGCCCTTTGGCCCAATCCCATTTCACCCCTCGCCCCCACTCAGCCCTTAGCCCTCTGTTTCGCGTGTTCACGTCTAGGGGTAGGGTGTCCCCATTTATGTTGAGATAGAGGGGTAGGGTGAAGTGTTGGGGCTACATGATCCCTCCAAACGGAGGTTTTTCAGAGACACTCCAAACAGAAAGTTATGAGAAAAAAGAAAAAACAGGAAGCTGGCTGTGCAAGAGACCAAAGAAACACACAAATGTGAGAATTTTCTCAGTTAAAAATTACGATAACCACTGTATTATTTTGGTTTAAAATTTTTTCAATACATTATGGTCCTTTTCTTTATAACAAGCATAAAAAAAATCACTAGTAGTTTGCTGATGTCTTGGTAGCTAGCTAGTTAAATTTTCCGTTCCACCTTAAAAGGCGTCAGAACTGCTGCACTATTTAAGGTGGAACGGGAAAAATCGAACAAGACGCTGGCGAATAGCATGTGCCCCCTCCTCTTTGAAGGCATGTGATGCCCTAAATGTAACTAAAGCCCAGCAGTGAGGAGCTGAACTTTACCCTCCTCTGCTGTCACTGCAGGCTGGCAGGGTCGCCTACAGAGCAGCGCTGGTAGCTTTTAATGAAGTGATGCTCTTTTTATTTGAGGGTCTCATTTAATAGGGAAGATTTCAACCAGTCCTGCTTATAACTCAGTTCCAAGGTGCAAGGAGACAGTTGAAAACAAGAAATAGGATTGGGCCTTAGTGCCATATTATTAGACACCCTAGACTGGGGTGCTTCAACTGGGATAGGACTTGCTAGCTGTAACAATGTCAACTGAAGTGAAACAAAAAAGAAATTGTTAGCTTCTGCTGGACAACTGCAAAAAGAAACTTGAGACTTAATAAAAGAATCTGCTGAAAGGAACTACAGACCGGATTAACTCACGAAGGGGAAAAAAAAAGTGAACAACCCATCCACTTCAGTTGGTATCAATGAGTTCATTATCATGATCTGTGCGTGCGGCAGATTCTCGAACGAGTGGTAGTCCAACGAGCACTCACAGGGTCAACAGTATCTCAAAAAAATCTCCCAAAAGTAATAAAACAATAATCATGGCAGTGGATCTGTAAAAGTAAACTGAAAATAAAATTATTTAAAAAATAGAATAATATATAATTACATATAACGCAGACCACATGTCCACCAAGCAAGCACCAAGTTTTTCCCCTCAAAAAATCAAGCATGTTACAGCCTGACGACCGACCCCTCACGAATAAACACATCCCATCCCCCCGTCTCAGATATATTTTTAACCAGGGCATAATACTGGGGAATCTAATGTGATGAATGTGGCACTCAAGCGTGCCAGCCACTAGAGGCTTTAACTAATGGCGGCTGCAAAATCATCCCAAAATCCTCTCAGCCTCTCCCTTCTCACCTAACCTCGCTGTAATACGGGTCTGGCAAAGTACTCCGTCACAGTGGGTCAAACAGCACAGCTTGGGGAGGGGGAAAAAAAGCGGTCAGTCTGCTCCACAGTCCACAAGCTTTGTCATGTTTCACGCTGTTTTTGTGAGCTGTTCCAACATGTGAGCAGATGGGGATGTCGGGAGGAGACTGACTGTTATATTAAGACCGCGAAAGAAACAGCTCTTTCAATCCACAATAGCTTTTACAGAGGACTGCAAAACAAGTGCAGTAAGGAAATAGTGAGGGCTGTTCTGGTAAAATAAAATCTGAACATGGGAATCAGCCAAAAAAGTGCTGTGGAACGTGTTTGGTGTCCAAATTCTGCTTCTTTAGTTCTGCGAAGAAGCTACAAGGTTAATGTAGCTTACAAGTAATGGAAGCTTATACGCCACTTATTAGCACCTTGCAAACCCAAAGCCTAAAACAAAACACCTGCCTCAAATTTTAAGCTGGTAATCTTAAATAGACTGACTTAAGTGTTTTGTGACACTGCATTACATCCTGTTGTCTATCAAAATGGACAAAAGTACACTGCAAAGTTAAAAACAGTACTAGCAGCTGTTTTAACGCATCGATTTTGTCTGTATTTTGGTCAATTTTTATAGATGACCGCTTGCCTCTTGGCTTCCTGAGCCACGTCCACCACTCTCTGCTCTACAACCTCCACTGTTAATCAGCATAAAACCCTCTTTCACCTGTTGGGTCCGGTCTGTTTCGCCCTGGCTGTCGGTTCTGCCTGAGCTAGGATGCTGAAAAGGAAGCGCGGAGATGCTCACCAGCGTTGGAGATGCGTCGCCCTCTCTCCCAGTCCATCTGCTCTCTCTCCAGCTGCTCCTGGTTCTCCCTCTCTTGCTTCTCCCTCTCAGCTCGTTCACGCTCCAGCAGCTCTCGTTCGGCGCGCTCGCGCTCCAGCTGCTCCTGCTCCTGACGCTCGCGCTCCAGCCGCTCCAAACGCTCCTGCTCGGCGCGCTCCCTCTCCAGCCGCTCCCGTTCCTGGCGTTCGCGCTCCGAGCGTTCGCGTTCCAGCATCTCCCGCTCCAAGCGCTCGCGCTCCTGACGTTCTCGCTCCAGCCGCTCGCGCTCCTGACGTTCGCGCTCCAGCCGCTCTCGCTCCTGACGCTCCCGCTCCAGCTCCTTCTGACGCTGCAGCTCCTGCAGCTGCCTGAGGACGAGAAAGGGAGCGGACTCAGTGAACACGAACAACCATATAGCATAAAACGCACAACAAAGGCAGACGGGATCATGACCACTTTCTGCGTAATTAGGCAGGTGAGGCACTATTATGTAATCAACTTATGTAATCATTAACTACACTGAATATGTAGCTTTGTATTCTAGCAAATAACATTCCTGTTACTTGATATGACTCATCTCAAACATCAGCTTCACGAAGAGAAACATAGGCTGTCAAGGGCAATATTCCAGGAGAGTGGTATCAGTTGTGGTCTGACGAAGAACCAAAGTTGTGCCAAAAATAAATAAATAAATAAATTCAAATGTAAGTTTACATGTGCTTAAATTCTGGAAAACATCAAAAATATTACCATTTTGGCAAAAAAAGCCCAGCATATCTATTCAGAGCTACTTAGATCAAAATTCTCCAGTTAGTGTTTAATGCCATGTTCTATAAAATATGCAATGAAACCCACAACTAATTTTACTCCTCATGACACCATTCAGACTATTTTTGCTGAAAGGAGCTAATCAGCAAATAAACCTATGGCAAATACAGACAGCAGAGGATCAGCAGAAACACTAGAGGGCACCATGCTCATGTGCATCCAGACAAGCAGAAACTGTCCACTTCAGCATCTGACGGGGACGCTGGCTTTGCATCTGCCTCCTGCAAAGGCGATATGAAAGATGTGCCTGTCAGTTCTTCTGGGCTTAAAGCCACATCAGTGTTTCCTCATGACCAACATTATTAAGTGCGCAGTGACACGGAGGATCCAGACCTATCTGGAGGGAAGAATCACTGAAGGCTGTAAGTAAAACAGGCGCTGGAGTTTGCAGCTCTAGGGTGGAAGCAGGATTGATGACATGACAGATTTAAGGTATGTAAGAAACCAGCGCTGCGTGTATTTTTAAAGTTACAGAGCTTGTAAAAGTGCATTCAGTCTAATGCTTTAATCAATCAGATGCAACTTGGTCAGTCAGGGTGTAAGAGGTGAAGCTTATGTTACCAATTTCTGCACCTGAACTACTGAAGTTTCCTGATGAAAATGATAAACTAAAGGTGCACGATCAGAACTGACCAAGCTAAAAATGTGCAAGTATTTGCTCCAAACCCAGCAATCAATAATCAGCAAGTTTATTATTTTGATTTTGGCTAACGTGAGGTGTAACTTTATGATATAAGGCTGTATTTGAGTTCTGCTGCTACACATATACCAAAATGTCAAATCTGCTAAACAGACAAAAAAGCAAACCGAATTTAAATATGCCTGTTTGCTAAGGTGCAAATAATAGTATCTATATTTTAATATAGGCTAGTAAAAAGTACTCACACTAGTGTATTTCATGTGTGCACTCAGCCCGTACAGTGTGAGCTTTAGGCCAGTAAAGGCTGGTAACAGTTGGGCCAAAAACAATTAGGAGTCTTATTTCAAAATTATGTACATCTTTTTGTAAAAACTCTGGGTTAAACTAGTTTTTCAAAGGAATGATGGCTGAAGAACAATGGAAACGTTTTTATTTCTCTAATAAAAGTGGTATTAATCACAATATTGCACTGACATTTCTTGTATGTGTAAAAGACCCTCCCAAAATTCTGTGGCTTATAATGCGTTTCGGACCAAAATCCTTATGACTAGTTTGTAGTTTGAGTTGAACTAATCGTCTCTGACCGCTATTGGGCAGGACTAGGAGTTTGTGTTGAGGATTTGTGAGTGACGTTTCCCAAATGGCAACCCATTTGGAATCCTGAAGCTAGAAAAGTCACCGAAATAAAATAAATCAATAAATATTTAACTGTAAACACTCAAATAATCTATATCAGGGGTGTCAAACTCAACCGGTACAAGGGCCAAATTAAAATCTCATCAAATTTATTTATTAAAAAATGATTTTATTTTTAATTAATGTTGTGCTGTAACCCAAACTGGCCACTATTTACTCAAAGTATGCAAAAACGTCAACAGTAAAATACAGACACTTGTAGTAGACCTTGAAATATTTCATGGACACTTAAAATATTCAAAATTAAACGTCCCCAGGAGCTCAGTCTTTTAAACCTACCTATTTCTTTGCTGCAAGTTCATTAAGACTTGGGCTCAGTTTCTGAGTTGCTGAGCTGATTTTAAGTGTTTATCCTGGTTGACCTGCAGCTGAAATGCATTTTGGTGATACGACAGGTGTGGAATCGCACAGAACTGTGTAGAATTGAGGTGTAACCGCTGTCCCATAGAGTGTTGGAGTAGGAGAGTCTGAGCACATTACATTGCAGTGCATGCTGGGGACTGTAGTGCAGCACATTGTGAAACGGGCTATTAATAGAAAATTAAAATACTTTTGTGGCCCGGATAGGATTGTGTGGTGGGCCTGATCTGGCCCACAGGCCTTGTGTTTGACATATGGGGTCTATATGTTCTACATATGTATTTTGCAATACTGATAGGACGAAAAAGACAAAATAGGAGAAAAATTCCAGTATTCCTGGGTGATAAAACGGTGATGAAAGAAAATTAATATTGATTCTATACTTTAAGTCCCATTAATAAAAAAGTAATGTTGCTCTGTTCCTCAATACAATATTAGTTGTACAGGCCTCAGCATAGAACAACTACTTTGGGACACTAGGTGGCAGTGTGAGTGTTTAACTCGCTAGACAAGGAGGGAGAAGGCATCTAGCAATTCATTCAAATGGCACAAAGCAGGCTGACAGTTATAACTAGCCTATGACCTAACTAGTGATTTTCAGTGCTGAAATTATGGAGAGAAAAAAAAGGAGAAAACAGTGAGAATTAGGAACTGCATATAATTACCTACATCAAATGATTGAGATAAATATATTGTGATAAGTATTTTATATCACTTATTTCATTTCTGTCTGTTTTGGCTTTAGTTGGTAGCTGTTCTCATAGACCTCCATTCATCTCGATCAGCTCCAAACCAAGCAGGATCAACATCATCTGACACTTCAAGATCTCAAACACACCTGTTCCTGCGAAACGGCCATGATTCAGATGATGTCATGCCCTGGCATCTTGCCAGGCACACCCACCATCCTTTCACCTTTCCCCATTCATCACCACCCAACCAACATTTTTCCCAGGTAAGGTGTCGATGCAGCACCATGCCTCCACATGCTCCCAGGATCTGAGCTAGATGGGAAAAACACGCCCATCCACGTCAAAGACCCCTGCGGGAGAACGATACTCGGCAATGCACCTGCTACAGCGGACGATTCCCCTCCTTCTCACTGTCTCATCTCACTTCAAACAAAAGCAGCCACGAAGGTCAGAGATTTCCCCCAAATGAAGAAACCAGAAGAGTGCCAGTTGTGAAAAGAGGGCTGGTCCGATGAAAAAAATCTAGGTCTGAATACAGAACACATATGGAAACATCATTCCTCCTCTTTTATTCTCTCTCTCTTTAGAAACAAATCCGGCTCCACCTCAAAATCAGAGGCTTGCTTGAAGGTTTAAACTAAAGAGAGAGAGATTTCAGATGAGAACCAGTCAATTCCAACTAATGAAGCAGCTACAGCTGTTCCCAGTGCATCCCTGGCCTGCATACTTTGGTGGTTTCCCTCTTCTTACACATCTGCTCCAGCTAATGAGCTCATAAATAAGCATTTCCTGACTTAAACAGGGTGAATTAAAGCAGAGAAACACTGAAATGTGTAGTGCTACTCCAGAAACAGGACTGGGAACCACTGGTAGAAGGGAATCCAGAGAACGTTTATTTTCTCTCCAAAAGGGCTTCCCCTAGCCTAGTCTACTGCCCCACTTCTCCATATTTACTCATTTTAGCTGTCTTGTGCAGGAGCTGTCCCTGTACCTGGGTTCCCAGGGGGATGTCCTGGTTCCTGAGATGCTCTATTATAAAACAGTTACGACAAGCAGTGCTGAGAAAGCGTCCCACAGTCCCAAATCCCTGCAAACTCCAAGACACGCTCAGAGAAGTAACTAAAGAGGAGAGGAACCCTTGCAGATATCATCGGCAAATGTGCTGCCCCAAAGGCCACGACAGCCACGGTGGAGCCAGCCGTAAGTCATTCTTAGTCGGGTATTAGAGCTTGCTAACCACAGGAGGGGGTCTGCTGACAGATCACTGGAATAAAAAAAAACCTTGCACGAAACGAGGGACACTTGATATTAGTGGGCCATGCTTAATTTTAGACAGATAGTGTTGAACACAGATGGAGCGCTCGGATGACACCCTCCAAATGGGTCGAGGAAGGGTAGTGGGTTATGATGCAACCTGGGTGCAACGTTCATGCAACAGCAATTAAGGAAAATGACCAAAAGATGAAAATGAAATGGGTACATTAAGAGGACCAAATGAATCTTAGAGACAGACAGACAGACAGACAGACAGACATGTAGGTGGATGGATGGATGGATAGGTAGATACGTAGGCAGACAGATAAACAAATACATAGATAGACAGGCAGGCAGGCAGACAGACAGAGAAATAGATACGTAGGAGGACGGATGGATGGATGGATGGATAGATAGGTAGGTAGGTATTTAGGTAGACAGACAGACAGACAGACAGACAGACATGTAGGTGGGTGGATGGATAGGTAGACAAATAGATAGATAGACAGATAGACAGATGGGTGGATAGACAGACAGACAGACAGACAGGCAGGCAGGCAGGCTGGCAGACAGACAGACAGACAGATAGATACGTAGGAGGATGGATGGATGGATGGATGGATAGGTAGGTAGGCAGGTAGGCAGGTAGGCAGGCAGGCAGGCAGGCAGGCAGGCAGACAGACAGACAGACAGACAGACATGTAGGTGGATGGATGGGTGGATGGATGGATGGATGAATGGATGGATGGATAGATAGATAGGTAGCCAGACAGACAGACGGATGGATGGATGGATAGACAGACAGACAGGCAGGCAGGCAGACAGACAGATAGACATATATGTAGGTAGGTGGATGGATGGATGGATGGATGGATAGACAGGTAGGTAGGTATTTAGG